GCATCCCCCTTTTTCTTTGTCAAGAAAAAGGATGGAAAGCTGTGGCCAGTACAAGACTACCGCAAGCTTAACGAAATAACCATCAAAAATCACTATCCTTTACCACTTATTTCTGACCTTATGGATAAGCTCAAGGACGCGAGGTATTTCACTAAGCTAGATGTCTGTTGGGGATACAACAACGTCCGAATCAAGAGGGGAGATGAATTCAAAGCTGCATTTCACACTAACCGAGGACTCTACAAGACCATGGTCATGTTCTTTGGACTAACCAATTCGCCTGCCACATTCCAGTGGATGATGAATGATATCTTTAAAGATCTCATTGCCCAGGGAAAGGTCACCATTTATTTGGATGACATCCTCATCTTCACAAAGGACAAGGTGGAACACCAAAGAATTGTGTGAGAGGTCCTAAAGATTTTGCGCAAGAACAAGTTGTTCTTGAAAGCAGAAAAATGTGAATTCGAGGTACTCAAGACCGAGTACCTTGGAGTCATTATCAGCAAAGGATCCATTAAAATGGATCCAATAAAAATCGCTGGTATCATGGACTGGCTGGTACCCTCCAAGAAGCAGGAACTACAATCATTCCTAGGATTCATCAATTTTTACCGACGATTTATCTGGCACTATAGTGCAATTGTCAAGCCAATGACAAAACTCACAGGGAAAGTCCCTTGGACATGGGGAAAAGAACAACAGGAGGCGTTTGAAGAGCTCAAACGTCAATTCGCAATGGGAGTCGTGTTGGTGATGCCAAACAACTACAACAAGTTTCACATGGAGGCAGACTCCAGCGAAGGGGCAATCAGTGCCATCCTGTCCCAAGAGCAGGAAGGGAAATGGTGCCCAATTGCATTCCTATCAAAATCTCTTTCCACAACGGAATGGAATTACGAGATTTATGACAAGGAACTACTAGCAATAATGATTGCCTTGGAAGAATGGCGACATTATCTCATGGGTGCCCGTCAAGATTTTGAAATCTGGACGGATCACTCAAACCTACAATATTTCCGCAAACTGCAGAAACTCAATCGCAGACAAGTGTGATGGGTCACTGAATTGGTGGAATACCATTTCACGCTCAACCACAAACCAGGGGTGTCCAACAGGAAGGCCGATCATGACCAAGGGAAAAAGGATAATGATGATATTATCCTTCTAAAGCCAGAATTCTTCTGTGCCCTAATAATGCCAATGGAGGGAGAAATTCATGGCAAAATTCGAAGAGCGACCAGCGATCACCAACGATGGGACAAAGGAATCACTTCAAGCCTCAGTCATGAGAAGGGGGTCATCGAAAAGGACCACCTTCTCCACTATGATGGACGTATCTATGTCCCTCATGATCACATGCTACGAGGGGAGCTCATCTCCCATCACCATGACCACGTCTCGGCAGGACACCCAGGAATTGAAAAGACCAAAGAATTGGTCCTAAGAGATTACTGGTGGCCTAAACTATGAAGAGACATGGAGACCTACATACGAGGATGTGAAGCATGTCAAAGAACAAAAACTGACATGCAGTGGAAGGCAGCTCTGCTACATCCCAACACCATACCATCTCGACCTTGGGAACATATCTCAGTCGACATGGTCACCGGATTTCCAGAATCTAAGGGCTACGATGCAGTGCTAGTCATTGTAGACCAATTCTCGAAGTATATCATGCTAATTCCATGCACAAAAGAACTCTTGTCGAGTGGATGGGCTAAAATCCTATGTGACGAGATCATTTGCCGATTTGGGGTCACCCCCTCCAAAGTCATCTCTGACTGGGGACCCCAATTTGTATCGAAATTCATCACTGAGCTATATGCAATGATGAATATTCAAGGAAATCCGTCGACAGCTTATCACCCTCAGATGGATGGACAAACGGAACAGGTTAACCAAGAACTTGAAAAATATCTTCGAGTTTTCGTTAACCACAAACAGGACAACTGGAGTGAATGGCTGCAGTGGGCAGCATTTGCTCACAACAACCGCCAACACTCTGCAATGGGCTTCTCCCCCATCAAAGTAGTCTTTGGATGAGATGGGGAAATTCGCCCAACCATGGTGAGGCCGTCGGAAACACCATCGGTAACTGACTTTGTCGAAAGCCTCCAGAGAGTATGCAAACAAGCAGAACACTCTCTGAATAAAGCCGCCAAAGTCATGAGAAAGGCTTATGACAAACACACTTGTCCTGTGCAGGAATACCAACCAGGTGAAAAAGTCTGGTTGGATTCAACCAACCTTCACCTTCCGTGACCAGCGAAAAAGCTAGACAATAAATGCGTCGGCCCCTTTGAAGTAATCTCTAAAAAGGGGCCCTCCACATACAAGCTAAACCTACCACCAGGATGGAAGATCCACAACAAGTTCAACGAACGATACTTAACTCTGTACGTCCCTCCGGAGTTTTCCAATCAGGAGAAACCTCCGCCACCTGAGCCAGAACTCATGGAAGGCGAGGAAGAATATGAAATAGAAGAACTACTTCAGGACCACAACCGCGTCATCGGTCGAGGACACAGTCGGAGGACCATAACAGAGTATTTGGTCAAATGAAAGAGATACCCAGTGGAGGAAGCTACTTGGGTCAAGAGAAACAACCTTGCCCATGCCGAAGAACTTGTCAAACAATATGAGAACAAGGAAGACCACGTAGAGGATCACAATTTGCGACACTTGGAAAATGAAGGGGGATGTATAACCATATCATCTTCTGGCCCTTCAACTGAGAGCCCAACACTCTTTCCAGTCTCAAACAGGAATCATACTGATCCATTATCCTTCAACGAGCAAGGCTTTTATTCATCAGACACGGATGAAGACATCTTCGAAGACGAATGTTCCATGTCTCCTCTAACGACTCAGACTGACCCTAGCTTCCCTCTAGAAGAACGGGGCATGTCTGCTTGGGAACAAAACAGGGACTATGAATCAGATATGGAATCTACTAACTCCCTCGACTCAGGGAGGGAGTACGTCTAAAGGACTGTTGGGACGACAGTCTTAGTCGGGGGGTATTATTACGGTTTTACCTCTATTTTCCTTATCTTATCTTATCCTTATCCCTCGGAACCCCGGACTGGCCTATCTTATCTCTCGGACCCATGATATTCCACTGGCACACTCCTTACCTGTTTACCCGGTTGCCGTCACCCCAGTTCACAGCTGCCATATCCCAGATGACCGACGAACCGCATGCACCATCACACTTCTCTTGATGGCATCATGCTTCTTAGTAGTTGGACAGGAGTCGACCGCTAGTCGAGGGTGGTCTACGGGATACAGCCTATTCAGATGGAGTCTCATGCAGATACAGGTGACATGCACTCTTTACTCTCATTCGTCGGGAGTACACTTCTTTTAGTGTCCTCACTCCTCATTCATTGAAGGGTGCACTTCTTGCTGCATGCGCCCTTGTAGATACTATTATTAGTACAAGTCTAACATGTATTTAAGCTAGCCTATGCTGTGGCCTTAGACCCCAGCTTCGGCTAAGGTTATATACTCCTAACTCTTACAAGCTCCTTGCTTTCGCTATAAGTGACGCCTAACTTCTTATAATCTACCAATGCCTCTCTAACACTGAATCACCGAACACGAGTGACAGGATAGAGATCAGCCTTGGTTCAGATTAGAGTTAGTGCTTAACAAGGACATCGTCTTACTCACCAACTCATAGCTTGCAGAAAATTGCGCTAGGGTGGGGTATGTTCTGTGCTTGGTGTTCCCATTCTTGGCTACATGCTACGAAGATGTTACACAGAACGAGGGTAAAGATAAATGACCCACTTTTATGTAGAATCCATGCCCATACACCCAACACTTGTTTTCCCTATTGACCGTCATTTACCCCAAGGTCTCATTTACCCCATTCTCACCCATGCCTTCCCACATTTTGTTCCTGGAGTGGTGCAGCATGTAACAGCAGTAATTCTGGCTTTGAAAGAGCTGCTAAATAGTGCTTGATAATCTGGACCGAGTACTCTCTGATCGTCTGAGCACATAATGGGCTCTTTATTGATAGCTATAATGATGCGTTATCAGCCAAAAAAGTGCTGAACATGTTTAGATGACAAAAGAACTCATGCTGGCAAGTGGGAAGGACGGTCCGATCTACCAGGGCCTGAAGATGAGGGTGGCTTCAGCTTGATGTGTTTGCAAGGAGGACTTCCATGCTGACTTCATCATTAGAGGCTGCTGACACATACCTCTTGCCAATCTCTGGCAGGATTGGTGCGGGAGAAATAAGTTGCTATGATGATCAAAGGAAATCACCTGATGCCAGTTTAATTTCCTACACAACTCAGCTCCAAATATTGAACTTCAACTCGCCAAATTCACCTTGAATGAGGATGAGTGTCATTCCAGTCATCAGTCATGAATTCAACTCAGAGAACACATACAAGGTACTTTTCCAAGAGTCCTAAATTTATTCCATAGTAACTCTGAGAGTATTATTTTCTGTAAATGCTGTGACTTACTGACCTGGTGCACCGCAATAGGGATCACGGATCTGAGGAATATAAAGGTCACATTAATAGCCACGTCTATTTGCAGTCACAGATGCAGGTCTAGACCACCTGAAGCATTCCTGGAGAATGAACTGTTCGAAACCTTTCCACTCTTCTCATTGTGATCACCTGTGCCATGGCTGTGAGTTTGAACTCATTGAAAGGATACCGAATCCATTATCTGGTATATTCCTATGTGCTATCAAATCCCAAACAGTGCCCCATGCAAAGATACTCAGACTCCCAGTTTGTGACATCAAACAAATGAAAGTCTGAGACACATACAGTGTGGTTGATGCAATGTATCCAAGATGCACCACTACAAGAGCTCAAACCGGCACCTTTGATGGAGTCTCACTCAGAACAATGCAACTAAAATATGTCAGCTCCACACTAATAAACATCAAGTCTCCACACAAAACAAACACATACCTTCCTCCTCACTAGTCAGCTTCTGGTAGCTGTTAACCTTCCTGTAGAATGTCTCAAATCGATCCCGACTTTTCATCTATCCAAATAATCACAAGGCAGTTCTCTGATTCATGGTTAAACAAAGTCATCATTGAGTCCCTAACCCATGGTAAGATTTTTAGTTTCAATCAGTCATCCAGCAGCTTACCATGAGCCAGGCATGTACATGGCCTTGTTTGCCATCGCACTATTGCAAATATGTGCGTAGTTGATCCTAGCCAACAAGATCGAACTTGAAGTTCCTCCCATAGTGTCGAGCACAACTATCCATAGGCGGCAGGTGAAGATTCTTGCTGGGATCTCAGGGTTCATGTACATCATGGCAACGATGCATGTTGCCATGCAATGGTTTTATATCAGACAGGCATTCATAATGTATGCAGAGACAGAAGAAACGAGGTATTCCTGCTACATTGAAGAGGCTCTGTGCATTGAAGAGGCTGGCTGTGGGCACCTGTGGAATAGTGAGCGGGCTAAAAGGCGAACCTCAAAAACCCACACACACACTCACACAGCTACACAAACTACAATCACCCTCGTAAGTTCTAGGGGGAGCGATTATTTCTAATGTGATCCAACTATACTTCTATATCTCGAAGAGTTTATCTTATTCTCAGCGCTCTTAGCGAAGCTAAGCTTTCTCTAATGAATCCCTAAGTCTAGGAACTTTTTACAGGAAGGTCGTTCACTGGCGACGATGCAACCTTCAAGGCAGATTTGAGTTATAATACACAAGGGACACTGATCCCAACAGAAACAGAGGCAATACACGCTGAAACTTCAGTGAGCTCACTAAAAGAACACCACAGGCAAGCACTGACTTAGCCTGCTCGCTACACAACTGTATGTAGGGGTTCTCCAACTAACTCCAGCAGGTTATCTCGACTCAAGAACACTTCAGAAGCGCTCGGAAACAGATTCAGAAACGGAACTTCGAACAGAACTGACACAGAACAGACTGAAACAGAACAGAACAGAACAGAACAGAACAGAACAGATCTCAGATTTCCACTTCAACACATTCTCTGAACAGACTTATCACACTTAACAGAACAGAAACAGCTTCACTGATTCATATTCACTCTGACTAAGTTCTCAAAAGTCTTATCAAAAGGGTATCTCATATTTCTCTGAGTGAGCTCGCTAATTCTATGCAAAGCTCGAAGTCACAAACTGATCCTTTGTTACAGTACTGCCTTCAACGCGTGCATGGGAACTCGGGGGCTCGAAACTTAGCCTCTACCTACTGTAACCAGCCTACTTATACTACAAGGGAATTAGAATTACAAACGTCATGCAGTACCCAGACTCCTACATGCATAGCACGTTGCCACCGCTGCCTTACTGAGCATCTGAGTCGGACTTCCCAGTTTTAGTCTCATTTCTATAGTGAGCTCGCTAAACGCGTGCCAAGAGGTGCTCTCCCGACACCCATGGGCTTGTTCTCTAGCGACCGACAGGTCTAGGCGCACGGAATCTATCAGTTCTGGCGTATGTCAGTTCAGGACTTCTTTCTTGGATTCACAGAGGCTTCTCGTAGACATGGCAACAAGTGAGTCTTCGAACAATGGGACTCAGAACAATGGAATGCAGGGCTCGCGGACTTCGGCCAAAGCCCATTGCCCAAGCTCGTGCCGGTGATATCTGTCATCTCGCTTAAGGATTTCCCCTGGATTTTCAGGTACGACGCATCACAGTTAGCGAGCGCGCTAAGTACTCTCAGTGTCACTGCAATCGTCAAGGTTTTATCTAGCTCCCACGAGTGTGCTTGTAAGTTAGAGCCTAAGGCATTGGGTATAGGGTTTGGCCTTCTCATCATGCATGCCCGTCAGGTACAGTGCTGTGACTAAGTCCTGTTTAGAATCCCGTTGCTTCTTATGCCATAAGTTATATTCCATATCATTGCACCGCATAGCATTAGTGTCGACGCGTAGTTTTAGTCTGCTCACTCACTATCTCTCAGTATGTATGTAAAACACTCTAGATTGCAAAATTACATGCGTAAATAGGCTGCAGTCGCAACAACGCTTTCAGCAGGTTTGTTTGGCCGATCTTGCCATGGACTCTGAGAGAAAATGTGAGCTGGTGGCGGCAGAATGCCGCCACCGAGCAAGTCCTTTTCTCTCAGCAACAGAAGCCACCACCACTGTGAGTGAATGATTTCAAGGGGGAGTACTCTCTCAATCATACAGTATACTACTATTTTTGAGGTACTAACTATTATTGATTATGACTTCTTTCTGCAAACTAAGATTTGAATAACCCTTGGGCCTTGAATTATAGTGAGTAAACCTCGCAAGATCAATCAATTATACATAAACTTGGTTCTTTATAAACCATAATGAATAGGGCCACGCATGGCAGAGCCCACTACCTTTAGCTGGTGCTGATCATGCCGATTCTGCCTTAGTCTTGTCGGTGTTGTATCAGTGGGACATTTCTTCATTTACATATGCCCTCCTGACATGGATTCTTTGTCACCTGCCACAATCTGATTTTAAGAAATGGAAGAAACAATGCTGGAACTTTGTGGAGGTTCTTCAGATAGAGCAGACGTGAAAGTCAGTGCCTCGGAATCAGTAGCCTCCATAACATTCTGTATGAGCTATTCCTTGAATGAAGCCATCAAGCCAATGAAATTGATGGCTACGAAAATATTTCAATCGAGACTGGAGATACTGCAGTGATTCCTCTGCAGTATCAGCTCTCATGTGTGAGCGCTGTGTAGACATTTAGACATTCAGTCTCTTGGCCTTCTAAATAGGTCCTGGTTGCATTCAACGCTTTCACTGTATTGTTTAACACAAAAAGAGTTATGCCTATACATCAAGAACCATCATCAGGAGGCATGAACATGTGTAATCACATAATGTGATGGCAAATTTTCAACGACAATGTCTTCATACCATTTGGAGTTACATCCCATTGTTTGTCTCCTATGGGTTGAAGATCACCATGAACTGAATCCTCAGCTTTAGTATCTCACGTAGTAAGGAAGGAAGGCACTGGTCAATCCAAACAATATCCCATGAATCACAGAACTTCAGTCAATACCATTCCATGCCTGGACAAGAATGACACTCCAAAACCTGTGGCTAAATTAACGTCCTCTGCAGAATAACAAACATATCTCAGATAGAAAATACTCAACGAGTAAGTTCAGGAAGAGGTGGTCTTGCCAACTCGGACAGACAGTCTTGTGTAGCATACCATGGACTGCCAATTCATAAAAGAGGGAGTTGAATGAAGATTTGTTCGGAAAAGCATGGAGTCCGGAAGGCGAAAATGCCTGTACATCAGGTGAAGGCTTTATAATTTGGGTGGTACCAATCCTAGCTATAAATAAGGCTATACAGAAACGTGCAAGAACAAATACATGCACCACCGCCATGCGCAGCATTCAGCAGGGCTCCAAGCCAATTCTAAACCAGGCAACCATCAAATGAACTTCCTGCAGTTTTGACCAAAGTCCGGAACTAACCCTCATCTTGTACAAACCCTGAGATACACCAGCCAGGTAGTAGAAACATTCAACATCATTTTTGAAGGAGATGGGAGCTGAAAGAGCACCATTGAGTATATATATACTTGGTAAGACAGCAAGCAAAAATCAGGCAGGAGGACAAAGGAATGAAAACAAGCCAGTGAGACAAGAGAACTATACCGCAAAATTTAGTGTCATTAGCATTTTTCAGAGAGTCGAGACCCACTACCAATGTAGCAGGAAAGGTAACTGAGGAGGGAATCCAATGAAGCATGCATGTACTTGGTAGTGTCGTGAGCGAAATGCTGGTAGGCAGTCGATGGACAAATAGTGAGACCTGAGAGCAACAAACAATATGACTAACGGTCAACATGACAAAGCCAATGCTCCACCTTGGACAAATAAACGACATTCAGCATAGTGTATAAAGAGAGAGCAGGACTTACTCGAAGGCGCCTGTGAATATATAGGTCTGCACTGAAAGATCAACATGTACTGCTTGTATTGTTAACTATGACAGCCTGTTTTGACTCTTAACCTGTTGTGATATTCCGGTGATATGGCATGTCTCAGCATGCTTAGTAAGAAGGAATTCGGAGGAAATGGGGAGAAAGTACTAGATTAAGTAGTAAATAGTATAAATACAGAGCATAGGCAAGGAAACTCCTCATGAGTTTGTCTACCTAGTGACTAACAGCCTAACAGCTGGAGTGCAACTGCATTCAAATCACAATATAACCTTATCAGAAAAAACAAACTCCTGGAAACACTCCAAACAGCCCACCGGTATGTTAGCGATAGAATGAGATAGCCAGCCAGCACAACCGCCACCAGAAACATGGTCACTAAGGGTATCCCTCAGATCATCAAGCATCAAATGGGCACTACGTGCTAAGAGACCATGCACATCTGCCATTCTAAGAAGATCCTTCCTAGGCAACATCTCAAAGTGACTATCAAAAATGGCTGCCATGTAGGTGACTGGCCCCTTGTACAAAAGGTACCAAACAAGCGTCAACCACTCTGCCAAACTATCAATTGCGTGTTCCCATTTGTTCTCATGCATGGACGGTGCCAAGAAGTGCCAAAAAGATAATAGTGCAGATGAAGGCAATACAGTTAACAGGTGGGTGTACCGCAAGACAGACAGAAAGAATGCAGGCTCCCAAACATGGTCAGTATGACATGCCTGAACGTACGACCGATATGAAGGTCCATTGAGCAATGAACACATGCCTGGACAGAAAATGCTCAACAAGCAAGTTCAGGTAAAGGTGGTCTTGTCCACATGAAGTCTTGTGTAGTATGCCATGGGCTGCCAGTTCATACAAGAGGGAGTCAAACAAAAGTCTGGTGAAAAACATGGAGATTCCGGAAGGCAAAAAAGCCTATATGCTAAACAAAGGCTTTCTAACTGGAAAGGTGTCAAGATGGTGTTACGCAGAAGCTTGGAAAGACAAACACACTCACCACCATCAGAATCACCCTTCAGTAATGCTATAAACCAATCCAAACCCAAACAAATGTCAGATGGACCGTCTGCAGTTTTGACAAAACTAACCCTCACCTCGTAAGAACCCCGAGACGTCACCAGTGAAATAGTGGAAACACCCATCGTCGTTTTGGAAGTACAGCGAGCATGTTTCGAGGAAAATGGTAATGGAGGAGGAATCCCATTGAGCGTGCATGTACTCAGGTAGCATCACTAGTGAATTCCTGGTAAAGATTCCTGCTATTAGAACAGTGAGACATGTGAGTAAGAAACAAGACGACGAACGGTGAACATGACAATGGCAACACTCCACCTTTGGATCAGCTGATATAGGAGGCAGGTGAATCAATTAGATCTTATGAATCTACCGCAAAATTTGGTGTATTTAGCGTTTTCCAGAGACCCACTACCAAGGTAGCAGGAATCATAATTATATAAAGAATAAGGCTTCAAGCTTCAAGAGGAGTCAACATAGCAGGCTTTGCCCCTGATGTGGGCCTTGCAGGCATTATCATGCTCTTATGGGTTGGATGGCTACTAGTAGCCCTATATGGGCCTTGATGATCAATGACATCACCTGGAAACGTCAACGCATTGATCTCAGAGTGTGTCACGGTACTGTCTCCTGAAAGAATTTCCAGAGACTCAGGTTCTGAATTAAGATTCGTATCAGATTTGGAGGTGCTGGATTATCTGGGAAAGGAACTGGAGGATCGTCGCTCTTCCTTGCATATGCACCCTATGTGCAACAGGTAAGTCTCCGGACTCTAACCTGGAAGAATCGAATCACTCAGTGATCCAAGTATTTGGCCTTTTAAGTATCCTTCAGCAGCTGGCTAGTGGTGCGCACTGTACTGTATACGGTATACGGCCGTAAAGCCATTGTCCCAGACAGTCACGGAACTATCCGTATACCATGCCCTATGGTCAGTTTCTATGCCTTGTCGGTGTCGGTACGGGTACCTTATGGCCGTCTACAGCTGTTGATGATCGTGCACCTAAGTATAAAATTGATTGGCTCATAAAGAAGTAAGTCAGACACCTTTGAGACTGTCAAAAATCTGTAAAATGCACCTGGTCTTATAATGAGCTATGCCATGTTGATGAGGGCTAGAGATATCCAAGATTTAAAGGAAAGTCATGCATATTGTCTTGAATGTGTAAGAAATTTTGATAAGACAGCTAAAAAGTGAAGTTAGTAATGCCACAGAATTGAATGATGGATATTTTGTGTTGATTACATGTTATAGATTTGCCCTAAAAAGACTCTTGGATGAGTTAAAAGTCAGAAACAAAAATAAGCCGTATTACAACGTTGTACGGCCATCCGTAAGAGCTCTTGACGGTGATGGAACAACCGTATACCGTGCCATACAAATGGTCAATATGATGATTTCGGCTTCAGGCCTTCGGCCCATCTTCCATATAACGGTTACCAAAAACCATACAATACGGTGCGCAGCCCTACAGCTGGCACCTTTGAACTATTTGCCGATCAGTGCTTCAAAGGGGGACTCTATCGACTGGTCAATGGCATTCTACATTATGGGACTGCCCACAACAGCCATGTGTACCACGCTCATCATGTACCATCTGGTTAAGGTCAGCAAGACTAGGAATTCCCCATGCTTCATGCCGAACACATATAACAACATCATAGAGATGTTGGTAGAATCATCCGGACTGTATCTCGTTGTCCTGGTGGTCTTCATCCTATTCGAAGTGACAAGTAGTCCATATAGTAGGTATCCAGCAGCAGTGCTTGAGTCGGTCATTGTGAGTTTGAGATTGTTTCACTGAGCCAAATAAAACAGTTACTGGGGTTTGAAATAGGGAATTGCGCCAGCATTGATACTTCTTCGTGTCGTATCTAGGAACACAAATATGGGTCCGCCAAGTGATGATATGGATTCATGGCCTTTACAGTGCCCACCGAGATCACAAACAGAAGGCGGTGGGACACATGTGGATACTGATGAAGTGATGATCATTGGTCCGGAAAAGATGGTCCAAGTATGAACTGCACGTGATTGTCATCCTGGAGACGATAGTGATTTAACTAGTTGGAAAGGTGAAAATAATAGTTGGTACCTTGTCGGTTACACATACGCAGTAAAAGCCCAGTTATCAGAAGATATTTTTCCGTGCTATAGAATTGTTTCGTGTCTGAGTATGACACTAAATACGATAAGTACGAAATGAGATCTTCTCATGTCGCTATCTTGTAAGACGATGGTCGCAAGTCTCAAGCAAGCCTGATGCTATCTGATTTGTCACATCATTTTGATGCTGTTCCATCTCTCACTTTTCAGGTGATCTTAATATGAAACCTAGTGATTTGCTAACTGTGAAGATGCGGAAAAAATGGACATACCATATCTGTAATGGAAAAATGAGTCCATACATGCAACATACCGTTGCAAAGCCGATCCAAGCATGTCCTTTTCGCTATGGCCTCTAGCACTATTTTGATACAAGGGCACAAGTTTGCTGCTTTACGCTGATGTACCATCAGCCTCTTGGCGCCAGAAGGCTTGCTCCGTGATTCAGTGTGGCTCGAACCTGAACATACCAAAGATGGTTAGGATGCGGTTCGAGTTTAAATAGTGCCATTTTTTCCTAATTACTAACAGTGTGCATTTATTTGTTCCATGTTGTCTTCCAGATTTCAGGTTTACTCACCTGCTACAGTAAAAATAATTAATTTATATCTTTCTTCTAATAAATAAGCGGTCATACCTAGCGTATGAGGTGCCAAGTCCCTCTGAAAAAAAAGAAACAACCTTCATCTGATGGACCTTTAGAATATCCGAGGTGAGTCGTAATTCCTCAGGAATGACTATGAGCTCACCTTTGACAGTAGCTACAACTGGTTCTCCTTCAAATCCAAAGTTCGTGAATGACAGTGGAGACCAAGCGAACTGGAGTGTTCAGTACACATAATCGTAATCACTTCAGCGCCATAATATGAACAAGTCAGCCAAAGGGGCACGTGGTATGCAAGACGAACGTAGCAAATCTAGACAACTTTGATATCAACCTGGTGCATGGAATGTCAGGACGAACAGTTCGCTATCCAGCAACATATTGGGGGGGGAAAAAAGAGTGACATCGCCACTGCCCCAAAGAAATGCACTCTAGCAATGGCAAATGCGTTTTCATCTCGTTTCACAGTGACGTGTTGGAAAAAGAAACATATCCGGAAGGGGTTTACTCCTTGAGATGCATGCCTTCTGTCCTCTCCTCAACATTAACATAGTTGATCCTATGTCAGGAGGTCTTTCTTCTTGTCCCCCGACGACTGAAGAGCCAGGAGTATCAACAGATTTACTCTCCCTCTTCGCTTCGTATTCTCAGTTCCCGGTTGAGCAAATTTGGACTCGCACCCAAATCTCCATATAAAGAGTACGAACAGTCTCTGTCAGAGGGTGAGGGTGACAGTCACCCATAGATTTTCCTTTCCACATTGGGTTGAGCACTGTGGTAGGTTTGGATTAAGTCGATGCTTCATAAATGAACGGCAATACCATCACATGGCGCCTCCTGAGCTTCCCCAATTACTGGGCCATATTCAGTCTCCAGCCAGCGACTGCGCTAACATAACCGACTTAGCCAGCCAAAGGAGCGCCTTGCACAAGAAAGGGTATGCAAGCATTTGATAGAATCGCACCTACATTGGCACGAAAAATGCGCGATTTATCTCCAGACACCACAACTCGTATCCCCCAGCAGTGGTGGACCTGATTCTGCAAAGCATCGTGTTAAAAACGATAACAAAATGCCTGCCCCAAAGGCAAGCACCTTATCGAGGGCCGGCACACTTCAGCAGCAACTCTCTTGACTGTCTATCCCCCCGCTGATTATTTCTCTGTGTGCAATGCGATAGCTATCAGTGACGGAATCCTGCCCCATCTCTATCAACATCGTTTTGCACGAGATCATTCCCTTGCCTGCTTCTCAGCCGCAAGCCGCACCCTCACCAATGCTCTCGTCCTCAGCCTCCGCTCAGCATCATCAATATCTCCTCCTCGCCTTCCTCCTCCTGCCGCATGCCTCCTCTCTTCCAGCAGCTTCCCCAGTAAACGCGCCCGACCCTCTGTCAAGAGGTCTTCTTTCTTTTCCGCTGATGACTGATCCTGGTCACTCGCAGATTGAGAACAGGGCATATCAGCAGAGTTATTCTCCCTTTTCCTCCTCTCACCGCTGGATGATAAACAGGAGAGTAAACTCGGACTCGACGATGATGACGCCGAAGTCGCACCTAGATGTGCACGTAAGGAATCCAAAGCCATACGAATAGGCTTCTTGGACTGTGCACGTGAGGTTTCGAGTATGTTGGAGGGTTCTGGAGAGAGACAGGGTGTATTTGCCCTAGATTTTCCCTTCACAGTCAGGTCGGTAGCTCTTGAGTTCCCCCTCACATCACGAGGTCTGGACAATTCAATGATATTGGGAGTCGAGGCAGGCGTGTCCACTTCAGTCGTGTATAGTCATTTGTACTGCGGGAGGATCCAGAGAATGAGACGATGCTCTACTTGTGCTGGGGTAATGACGAACCAGAAGGGGACCAGGATATCGACCGGACGGGAGATACATCGTCTTTGTGCCATCTGGAATCTCCAGGTGAAGTCGGTACACCAGCCTGGTTGCAGGTTGTTGGTGACCTAGACCTGGATCTCTGACAGGGGGTGCTCGTCTGGCTCTCACCATCAGTCTCAGTCTCGGTCTTGGCGGCGAGCTTACATGGGGAGGCTTATTGTACTAGTCAAACAGTTTTAGGTACAGACAAAAATATGAACTGAACTGTGATTACTCACCTGAATGATGCTATCATACACAAACAAATCCTTGAATGGCGACCTCACTGTACGAGTAGACCTCTACTTGCTTCAGTAAAGAACACTTTGCATAAGGTAATGACTACTCCCCATGTGCGAAATGCTCCGCCATAACCCTCCCACCCGTATCAATGTCCATAAATTCCACCAGTAGCTTCACAGCCGACTCTGAGCATATATCAATCAACTTCATTAGTGACATCGTGAACATCTTGAAGAACTATGTTCCTCAGTCAATCGTCCATACGCAAGGGATGAAGGTAAAACCTGCACCTCGACATCGAGATTATCCTAAACTCTCAACTCACACCCCAGAAACATTGTTGTCTTGCTCACCATCTCTTGGCTCACAGCGAACTATGCCAGGGTGGGGTACAGCCGGTACTTCGTATACATATTGGAGGCTACATGATAAGAAGATGTTAGACGGCACAAGCACAAATGTAAAGACATTCAATGCACCTTGGCATACAGCCCGTGCTCATACACCCACTGCCATTTCTCTATCGACCTGCTCCAGTTTATCCGTTTCATCCAGATCTCGTCTACCCCATCTCCTACGCCTTCGTCTATGTACATCAGGGTTCTTGTTGTGGTGCAGCACGTAACAGGCAACAGTCCATGCTTTGACAGAGGGCACCAAATAGTGCTTCTGATAATCATACCAGTGACCGGATCCGATGGATGAGGTACTCTCCCATTGTCTGAGCACACAAAGGACATTTCCTTGATTGATCTACATCACCCATCATCAGCCTGGGTATACACGAAAATAAATCCCCTCACCAGCCCAAACGATGAGACAATCAAAACAGAACTCATGCGAGCAAGTAGGGATGATGGTCCAGTCTACAAGAGGCTGCGAGTATATGCCGCAGTTATCTCCCTCTTCATCTTGAGTCTCTGGTGGTGGCGAGGGCGACTGTAGCTTGATGTGTTTGCGAGGAGGACTGGAAGAGCTCATGGGCGGGAGCAAATCATCACTTAGGGGCTGATGACACAACTTTCCTGCTGAACTCCGAATGGCAGGGTTTGTGCCGGACTCAGGTTACTTCTCACGATGTTTCTCGCTTGGCTCTGGTTTCAATTTCTGTGTCATTGGATTTTCTGACATCTTCTAAATTCGAAAAGTGCATTAGGTTGAAGGCCACCTTCAAGATAAGCCTCGATTTCTATTTCGAGGACCCATATTTGCTCTTTCCTTCCTACACTGAAATCATTCACGGGTGTTCTTACACTGGCTTCTCGCTTTCTGTCCCTTTCATGCTCATCTAATTCATGTATGCTGCTGTATCCTGAACATTCTATCCTGTGCTTCCTTCTATACCAACACTCGCCTAATCCCCAGTAAGCTGCCTTGTAGAATCCATCCCTGTTATCCGACCTTGATACCAAATTCAGACCCAGTGTCCACGTCTCCCTTGCGCCTTCCTCTTGGCCTACACAATCTTTCATAGCCTTTCTCTCCTTCATTTGTGACTTGCATAACATTTGGTCATATGTGTGATGTTTGACAATGACCTCAATACAGACCAACCCATGGCATGCATATGCGTTCCCTTGGGGTTCGAGGTGTACAGTCTGTTTTTTATGGAATACAAGACTGGTATGCTCAATTTCAAATGATATCTGTGCCTTAATACCCTGGATACCTTCATATTACTTCATATAGATATATATATTTTATATCTAATCAATATTACTATTTTAAAATAGCTCTTTTTGTATATTTAAATAGCTGTTATATGTAATACTGACACTTCTGAAATACTGAATAGTGTTAGGAATATGCTAAAATATGGATATGTGAACACAAGATGAAGAGTAGTGATTAAAATAAAGTAAGATTAATTAGAAAGCATGTGTGTTATTGAAAAATACTATATTATTTCAACTAGATATTCATATAACACATAATGAGGCCTTTTTGAACTTTTTGTTACCTAGAATGCTTTAATATAGATATAGACATGAGTCTTGATAGTAAGATACAGGCTTTGCTTGTATATCATAAGATAGGCCTTAAGCAGAACCAAGGAGATCACATGATAACCTGAGGTGCATTGAATGGGAGTTTTACCCTCTAAGATGGCCAAAATTTCCAAAAACAGCTCTGTTAAAGCTTGCAGAATTGTTTTTAGAGGCCATGATGGAGCTCTTTTTAGCAAAAGGGCCCCAACTGGGAAAGTAAACTCTTGTTTTACTCTTTCACATAATCTACTTGGTTCTACTTGAGGCCTATCTTACTGTATTTATATCATATCTCATATATACAATTATAAAAGACAGCTATGACCTACATTAAGTTTTATAGCCAAAATGACACATTACATTGGTTTACCTTATTACATACCAAAATAAATAGATATCCATGTATATTTAACCTACTTGTACAGAACTCATACAAATATATCCATAAAATTTATATTTCAAGCCTTTAAAAGTATGATACAGGCTCATATATATGGTATCCATATTTCCTATATATACAGATACAGTGGACATTCTTATATGCAGTATTTATATGCTATATATCTGGCTGTACTGATTATTTTGTAAATTTTGTGATAAAAAATTCTGCTCGATGTGATATATGTCACACTATGTGACAAAGAGGGCATCGAGTCCTGATGAGGTGTGATGTGATATATGTGTCACATCACACCTCATCGAGATTCAATTTAACAAATTCAACTTCATATCTCAGTTTGCTATACTTGTTATAAAAGTTCAAGATATGATTGTGTTTATAATCAGAGGTTTGTTTAAACTATAATAGCTATCTAAAGCTATTTAAACGGTCAATGCATAGAGAATTCAATATTCTAGCCTAAAATATGGAATTTTATAATCATTTACTTGTTCTTTAACATATGTATTATTCAAATAGTTCTGTATACACCTTATAAATAAAGTTTGTGGCTTCAGTGAACATTGGAAAAACACTGTAAGATAGCTGTAATATTATGTTAATAATCTACCCTATTAAGAGATACTAGAAATCCCTCAAGTATCACAAAAATATTATCTGAACATTCTAGTCTAATATATTGATACATTCATCCAAATTTTAGTGATTGCCACTTATAATAATTCTTCTGTATATATATTAAAGCACAACTAATGTGTCTGAGGTCCTATTACTATGTATAGTAGAAACAAATATATACAAATCTCGGTTATTGTCATAACCGGAGCGTACCAGTCTCGTATTCCATAGTTTTTAGTTTGCCTCTTGATAGCTAACTTCTTCGTGTGTGTAGATTCTCTCCCCATGAACACCGACCCTCATCATTACTAGCTTACTACATGTCAGTATACAAGGACGCCTGCCACTTCCGCGATACTCGCTGCAAAAGTCCTTTACCAATACCGATCAAGCATTTGCAACCAACGTTAGAACTGGATTATAAGTATTGAAGATGTGCATCGATGTGTGGTGAGTTAGTATTACACCCGGGGAGGATCTTAGGATGTATGTCTCCTCATTCTGACTCGATACCATTGTCGAGGACTAATATTTTTTCGTGCAGCGTGGCACTCACGACTGTCAAGGATACCGTATGCGATCTAGTGTGACATATCCCGCTTACTTATCGCAGCGGGTGAGGTCGACGAGTTGCAGAGAGAATATGTTTGAATAGAATGGCATGGGTTAGGGAGGGTATAGAGAGGTACCGGTACGTGTGTTGGAGAGAAGTGGCTGTTTTTTGTGGCTGATATAATTCGAAGGTCAAGATCATGGTGCTCTCGAATCCGTGCTTTGAACTTTTACTGCGAATTCCGTGTCCTATATCGAACAACGTTACGACGCATGTTGCTTGACGCATCCAAAAGTTCATGCTGCTGCAGTGAATGGGAAGGAATCCATTTATCGTCGTCCCAAGTCAAAACTAGAACGAAAACTTCTCACGACTCTAAATGAAAGGTGTAATTTTGTCTTCCCTTTTCCGTCATGGGTGAATGCATGTGTTCCTTTTCCTGTGTGTCATCTTCGCCTTGTCAAAGTGGGAAGAGAGGAATGGTGCGAACGGCTCGGAGATGTTTCGCAAAAATCCTTGGTGTTTGGCAAAGCCTATTCTCTGCTCTCAGTGATCGTTTTCTTCGTTCCCATCATCTCCACGTGTTCCTTCCTCTAATTCCTACTGTACATTGTTACTCAGTACTCAGTACTCAGTCTCCGCCCTCTTCACCAATCCCTTCGTTTCTTCATGACTTTAGCAATTTTTGATGACGACTTCAAGAAGGGTCGACGTTTTCTTGGAGTTCGAGGCACATAGTCTATTTTTACTTGCGGCTTTGAGGAAGCTAATTCTTCTTGCGCGTCCAGATTCTCCTACCTCTCACTACCCCAGCTCACCAATTGCGCTAAAACGTTCCGGCGAGCCGAATGAAGGCCAGATTGTTGACAGATCCAGCATACTCCCCGATAAATCCGTGACCCACATCCACTCTGCCCGCATACATCTTCGTCGTTACTAGCTTGCTAAGCGCCGACTACACAACTAGGACGCTTCAATACGCAACACCCATTTCTGTGGTACCCGCTGCGAATATCTTATACCAGTAGAGTCGGTATCGACCAAAGTGTTGCAACCAACATCAGCACTGGAACCCAAGTCAGGAAGGAGTGGGATCTGTAGTCGGTGTATAATGGGTTGGTAGTGCACAGGAGTATATTTGATGTACGTCTCTGTATGCTGAGTATCGGTGTGGAGGGACTAATGATCTTCGTGCAGTGTGGCACTCGCAGCTCTCAACGACACCTGATGTGCTCCAGCATGACACATCTTGCTTGATAATGCGTGGTTATCATAGGAGACCAAGACAGAAATTTTAGGAGCATCGAACACGCGTAGTAACGGCGAAGCGCATCTGGGAAGGAATGTGCTTTGGAGTGAAGTCTGCAGATTCGGTGTATTATCGATCTTTCCACTGAGGAATGTTACAAGGTATGTTGTCCAAGCGCTCTCTAAGCCTTTTTATCTTATTTCTCCTTCAGTTCATGGACTTCTCACCCCAGTCATCATGAACCTCCGTATATTCGGCATCGTCTTCGTCATTGGCGCCGAGGAGGCTCCGCTAAAACACCACCCTCTCCTTCGTCAAATACACCGTACGCCGACTCTCCCTCACTGGAGATACTTCTGACCCACTCTGCGCTGCCACCCTCTAGAGCAAAATCATCACCGGGAACCCTGACTTTGCCGTCCTCATCATCCCCACCAACAGAAGTATCGAGGAATCATTCACGATCCTCATGACGACCGTCATAAACTATTTCGGACCTGTCAGCTGTTTTGCTAACGTCAAAGGTCAGTCTGTACTTTCCCTTATCAACTCAAGCTCAAGTGTTACCTTTTTGTATAGACTGATGGAAGCCAGAACCAGGTTCTCCTCAATACCTACCGAAGACTGGATCATACGGAAGCTAATTACCTACATGGAGAATCAAGGTGGCTCATCACGCATATCACCTCTACATTGTCGCGTCGGCAGCGGTGATCACCTCATTTAACTAAACAGCGTATATGGGCACGAAATATGCGACAAACGAGTGCAAGCAAGTGAGATTGTGGACCTCGGAGTTCTTCGAGGAGCGAGCTCATGACAGGGATCAGCGTTTCAGTCGATGTTACAGACTTTGATCTGAATGAAGATAACGCGATTTATCTTGCCCGTACACTCAACCGCGTTCCTCTACGACCGGTCTATCTTATCTGCCTCAACCTGGTCTCGTCTACCCGATTCTCGCCTGTTCCTTCGCACCTCGGGTTCCTGAAGTGGCGCGGCACGTAACAGAAGTAATCCTAGCTTTGAAAGAGGCGCCAAACAGTACTTTTGATAATCATAGCTCGGGCGGATCAGATGAATCTAGTACTCTCTGATCGTCTGAGTGATGAAAGGGCTCTTTCTTGATAGCTCTGAATTTAAAGATCCATTATCAGCTGAACTTTGACTGTATGCGAAAAAAGTCTTGAACCTGTCTAGACGACGGGACAAGACTCATGCGCGCAAGTAGGGATGACGGTCCGATATACCGGGACCTGCAGGCAGTGATCTGCCCCTTCGTCTTGGTTCTCTAGTAGTAGCGAGGGTGGCTTCAGCTTGATGCGTTGTTCGAGGAAGACTCCCATGTGGACATCATCATTTGGACGCTGCGGACATATATCTCTTGCCGATGTCCGGCGGAATCGGGAGGGTCAAGTCGAGATCCGATGATGTTCAATTTGCTATGCAGCTCAAACTCATCTTGATGAATCGAACTTCAACGCAGCGGGACAGCCACTCGATCCGTATCAAATGAACCTTCGAACCTTTCCACTCTTCTTATCGCGATCGCCTGTGCCATGGCTGTGGGTTTGAACTCGGAAGGATACTGAATCCATTGATGGGTATATTTCTATGCGCCATCAAATCCCTAACCGCGCACTACGCAAACTTACTCAGACTCCCAGTTCACATCGGACCAATGGGAGTCCGAGATACGTATACTGTGTGAGGCAGTGCGTCCAAGAAGCTCCAGTAAGAGGGCTTGAACCGACACATTTGATGGAGTCTCATGAACACTGCCCACCGTAATTATCATCGTAGCGGTGCCTGGTATGCCCATAACAGTATTTCCATCCTCAGAACAATGCGACTAAAATATATCAGCTCCGAACTAATAAACATCGGCACCTTCCTCCTCGCCAGTCAGCTCCACGTAGCTGATATCCTTTTATACTATGTCTCAGATCGATCCCGACTTTGCATCTATCTATGCTGACCTCTGGGTCAACGACGCTATCATCGAGTCCTTAACCCATGGTAAGAGTATATCATAAACCACAGTTGTCCCAAAAACTTACTGGGACCTAGGAATGTACACAGCATTGCTTGCCGTCGTACTATGGCAAATCCGTGTGTAGTTGATCCTAGCCTAGCCTACACAATTGAATCTGAAAAACAGTCCCTTGCATAGTGTCAAACATAACCACTCATAGGCGGCCGGTGAAGGTCCTTGCCGGTATCTCGGTGTTCATGTACATCATGGCGATGATCCACCTGGCCACGGTGTGGTTCCATACCAGGCGGGCAATCATAACGAAGGGAGAGACAGAAGAAACAGAGTCCTTGGCCCTCGCGGACTGGATAACTACTGTTACCCCTATGTGGGGCATGATGATCAACGATATCGCAGCAGGCATGAATATATTGATTGCGGATGGTGTTATCGTACGTTTTCCTGCCAGCATTTCTGCAGAAGGCTCGGTGATAAATTTAAATTCATATTAGATTTGGAGGTGCTGGATTATCTGGGGAAAGAACTGGAGGATCATTATCCTTCCTTGCTTATGCACGATATGCGGATTGAGTAAGTCCATTAGATTCTAGCCTGGATGATATCTAGTCGCTTAACTGATCCAAGTCTTTGGCATTTCGTGCCTTCTTCAACTTCGGGAACCGATGTTTGATTCACAAGGACATCCGAAGACAACTTCCAGCCAACTGGGGATTAGCTTATTACGTTATGGCACTCCCAGCAACGATCATATGTACCACGCTCATAGTGTACCGACTGGCTAAGGCGATCAAGAATAAGAACTCCCCACACTACGCGCCGAACCTATACTGCCGTGTCATAGAGATCTTGGTAGAATCATCTGCACTGTATATCTTTGTCCAGGGGGTTTTCATCGTGTTTGATGCGATGAATAGTCCGTATAGCTCGTATCCACAAGCCGTGCTTCAGTCGGTTACTGTAAGTGTGAAATTGCTTCGCTCAGAAATAAAACTCACAGGGATGTTGTGCAGGGAATTGCGCCGACATTAATGCTTCTTCGTGTTGTGTCTACTAAGAACACTGATACGAGTCCCCTGAGTGATAATATGGATTCGCGACCTTTACAGCGCTTGCCGAGATCACAAACGGAAGGTGGTGAAACGCGTGTAGATAATGATGAAGTGATGATCATAGGTCCGGAGAAGATGGTCTAAATGGTATGAGCTGCGTGCGATTGTCATCCTAGAGATGATAGTGATTTAATTAATCGGAAAGATGGAAATCAAAGTTGGTACCTTGTTGGTTCCATATACATAGAAATAGTGCAGTTTTCTAAGTAAATGTTTACTATAGAAATTGTCTCGTGCCCGACTGCGACGTTACATACGAGAAGTAAGTAATGAGATCTTAGCATAGAGCTAGCTTCTAAGACGAAGGTCGCGAGTCTCAAGTAAAGCCTGGTGCTGCCTGATTCGTCAGTTCATTTTAATGCCTTCTATCTCGGTTTTTAAGTAATCTTAACGCCAAACTTAGCGACTGACTCTCAGCAGCATTCAACAAGCAAAGAGGAAGAGATGGCGTCAAAGACGACAGCGAAGAGGCAAGATGTGGTCATTATACCAAGCCCCATCAACGAAGCACATGAACAAAGAATGAAGAAATAGCGGCAGAAGACGACAAGAGGTTAATAGTCAACTAGTCACTTCATGGTCCGTCAGTCCCTGAAAATCCGCGACGGTCGTTATCTTATTCCTTGCGCCGTATGGGCTCGCCCTAAGATATTGAGTTCTCCGATCGAAAGGTGTTATAAAACGGCTGTAGTCACGCACGTCGGATAGTAGAAAAGAGGCAAAAGCACCCAAGGATATGGAAGCCACAGTGACCCCGTCCATGAGGGGTCCGTGCTTGGAACTCGGATGATGTCTGAGAGGACCCGTCTTGTGAATCGGCGACTTCAACAGTAGACGTCCTCCCTTCAAGCAGCGCTGGCTGGGAGGATGATATTGTAGTGGTCGAAGTTAAAAGATAACTTGGTCTTGGTATTACCCAGGCACCGCCCGGAATACATGCGTCATATCCAGAATACTGTTATCCCATCCCCCTTAGTTTCCTACAGCCTCGCCTCCTCACCGACGCATGCCTTCTCTCTTCCAACAACATTAACACTTCTTTCTTCTCTACTGACGGTTAGCCTCCATCTTCATATTCTTCCCAACGAACAGCCCAGCCAAGGACTCGCACCCAAATCCACGTTCAGAGGGTGCAGGAGAAAGTATGCGGGATGCGTCGGTAGCTTATCCTTCACGTCGGGAGGCTTCGTAGTTGACGTTGAGTACGAAAAGAACGGCAAGATCATCACTGCCACGCCTCTTTTCTCCAACTGGCAACTGCGTTAACATAACCGAATTACCCACTCAAAGGGGCGCCTTGCACAAGAAATAGCATGCAAAGCAAATGTAGCACACCCGGCATGCGTCATAGAATTCGATTCCGGCTACTCAGTTAATTTAGCAACTTCGCGACGTCTGACAAATCAACCTGACGCATCTACATTGGCACAAAAAAAGCGCAATCTATCTCCCAACAACATAAACTCGTATCCCCAGCAGTGGCAGACCTGATTCCGTAAAGCATCGCATCCGTGCGCAATGCGGTAGACGAATTTCTGCAGCTTCCCATCTCCATGCACGACGAGAGAGCAAGACGATTACTCCCTCGCCCGCTTCTCAGCCGCAAGACGGACCCTCAAGAAAGCTCGAGTCCTCAGCTGACGTTCCACATCATCGACAGGGTTTACTCGTCAAGATGCATGCCTCCTCTCCTCCAGTAACTTCCCCAATAAACGCGCCCGGCCCTGCATCAGCAAGCCTCCTTCTTTTCCGCTGAGGACTGATCCCGGTCACTCGAAGATTGAGAGTCGGGTGCATCAGAAGAGTTATTCACCCTCGTCTTATCCTCATTTCGTGATGATAGCCTATTAAGCAATGCTGGACTCGACGATGATGATGCCGACGCCGCACTGAGATGAGCACGTAAAGAGTCCAGGACAGTACGGACGGGCTTCTTGGACTGCGCGCATGCGGTTTCGGGTAGGTTGGAAGGTGTTGGAGAGAGACGAGGGGTATCTCCTCTAGACTTGCCCTTCACATCGGGTTGAAGTCCAACAATACTCGGGGTATCACCAAGGGGTTCGTCACTAGCTCTTGATTTCCCCTTCACGTCAGCAGGTCTGGGCGGTTCAATGATATCGGTAATCGAGGCAGGTGCGTCCACGTCACCGGGTATAGTGCTCGTGCTGCTGAAGGGGATGACGCTCTGCTCGCACTGGGATAATGTCGACCTGACGGTGACCAGGATATCGAACGGACAGGCGAGATGTTATCTTCGCGCCATCTAGAATCTCGAGGCGAAGACGGTGCGAAATGGTTGCAGGGAGTCGACGAGCTGGATCTGGACCTGGAGCACTGGTGAGGGTGCTCGTCAACGTCTTGGTCTCGGTCTTGGCAGCGAACTGACATGGGGAGGCACGTCATACTAGTCAAGTTGCTGTAAGTACACAGAGAGATATGTATGGCATTGGAATTGCTCACCTGGACGACGCTGTCATACACGAAGATGTCTTTGAACGGTGACCTCACGCACGAGTAGACCTCTACTCTCTTCAGTAAAGAAAGCTTCGCAGAAAGAAAAGCCTACTCACCATGTACAAAGTGCTCTTCCATAACTCTTCCACCAGTGTCAATGTCCAAAAATTCCGCCAAAAGCTTCACAGCTGACTCCGACCGTATATCAATCGACTTCATGAGCGATATCGTGAATGTTGTGAAGAACTATGCACTTCATCAGTCGTCCATACGCAAGAGACGAAGGTAAAAACCGCACCTCGACGTCCAGATTATCCCATACCCCCAACTCGCGCCGCAAAAACATCGTCGTCTTGCTCACCATCTCTTGGCTGGCGGCGAACTGTGCTGGGTGGGGTACGGCCGGTACTTCGTATACATATTGGAGGCTACATGATAAGAAGATGTTAGACGGAACAAGCATAACGACATTGAACGCACCTTGGCGTAAAGCCCATGCTCATACACCCACCGCGGTTTCTCTATCGACCTCTCCAGGTTATCGGCTTCGTCCTGGTCTCGTCTTCTCCATTCCCTCCTACGCCTTCGTCTACGCACATCGGGTTCTCGTTGTGATGCAGCTCGTAACGGCAATAGTCCGGGCTTCGAGTTCGGCGCCAAGTAATGTTTTTGATAATCATACCGCGACCGGATCCGATGAATTAGGTATTCCCCGATCATCTGAGCGCACAGCGGGCATTTCCTCGATTGCCCTGAATCACCCATTATCACTCTGAATGCACGCAAAAAGAAAATCGCTCACCAGTCCAAACGACGAGACAATCAAAACAGAACTCATGCGAGCAAGTAGGAACGACGGTCCGGTCAACGAGGGGCTGCAGGCATATGCTGCAATTGTCTTCGTCTTCGTCTTGAGTTTCTGGTGGCGGCGATGGCGACTCGAGCTTGACGCGTTGGTGAGGAGGACTAGAAGAGCTCATGGACGGGAGCAAAAAGGAAGGTGATGACACATCTTCTTGCTTGCCGGTTCGGCACGGCGGGATTCGTGCCGGTTTCTGATCCTCAAGCTCTTGCTTAGCTCTTGTCTGCGCTTTTTGAGTATCTGACGCTTTCTGAAAGTCTGAGATCCTAACTGTAGTAGTGGAACAACTTGGACGAAATACTACATTCAAGTCAATCCCGGGTTGATCCCGGACCCTGTTCATATTTGCTCTTCGCTGCCTGGACCCTGCACTGAAATCATTCACGCGTTTTCTTATAGTTACACTGGCTTCTCGCTTTCTGTCCATTGCATCCTCATCGACATTGTATAGTTCAGAATTCCGTCGTAAACTGGACGTTCTATCTCATTCTTCCTTCCTCATCTCAGAATCTCCAGTTAGCTGTCTCTCGCATATATATCGAAATCTGTGTACTTGTTATCCTAGCGCAATATTGGCGCGATATCAAATTCAGTCCCAGAAACAAGCTTCTCTGCCACAATATATGTATTTCGCAGTGTAGGTCACATTTATCTGGTCCCACCAATTTCGTGCTAATTGCTTGATAAGATCTCGTACTTTGCTCATGGACAACCGCAATAAGTAAGTCTTTATCTCCTTTCCATCAGTAGAGAAAGTCCACGAAATAAGTCTTCCATTGAACTGAACGTGCGCCTTTTCAGAGGCACACAAGGCGAAACTCGTCACAAGAATGAGTACCTCACCAGTGTAAACCCGCATGGCCTCCCTGTTCGAGTTACTTCCACAGTAGAAAATGCGAGAAATAACTGTACCGCAGACTCACCGATATTTTCCGAACAGTTTGTGAATTCCCAAACTCGAACCAATCACTACCCAACAAGTTTCCTGCAGGCAGAAACCTGCGATCAGCCAGATCAATGCACTCAAGCACACGACCTCAGTTCCTCTCTACGCCCGCAAAAATGATCCAACTAGACACGCCGGATGTCCCAAGCACGAGCAATCAACTACCCAGCCCGACTCCCATCCTTGACGCCAACACCCCCACTCATCTTTCCGGTCCGGTCTGTGCTCTCCAAATGTTGAAATTACAACTAACGATCAGCTACAACGACCGGAAAACATCTCTGCTTTCACATCCAGTATACTTGTTGACCTCCAAACATACACCTCGGCAGTTTATTAAACGATTGTCTCCAAACTCCACACGCTCCCGTTACAATGATCCTCGCCACAGAAAGAGCTTCCACCTCAAGAAAGTCATACGAAGACTAGCGATTCTGGATGTCCAACCTAGGAATCCAAAACTACACCTCAAAGCCCCCATCTGTCTTGATCACCCGCTCTGTCTATGAACGAAATACAAACTGGACTAGGTTTTATCGACAAAAGAGCACCCGAGTGTTGGTGGGAGGGGGTACAAATCCATCCCGAAGTGGGTGTATCTTGACCCCCTCGGTTGAATATTAACGGCGGGGATTCGTGCCAGTTTCCTGATTTCTGTACAAGTACATTTCCCCCCGCAAAAAAAATTCTGCATTTCTGACTGCGGAGAACTAGCTTCCTTCTAACTCACATATATCAGGGAGCCAAACGTCGCAATGCAGATTCATCAACCACTACCCGGCTAGTCACATACCGCTTGATGTTCGACTCACAGCTAGGACTCAAGAACCCGTCCCTCATCCCACTCTCTGCGTGCGCAGCAACACGACTCACTCTCAAGTACCCACGGCGATTTCCATTACAGAATAATCTTCTCCCTAGACTGGGTCAATCTCCCCTGTTCATCTGAACTTCTAGTACGCTCTTAGTCGCAGGACCTACTACTAACGATCAGATATCAAGCCTGCAACGATAGATCAGCGTCTCTTCCCTCAAATTCGGTATAACGTAACATCATCTTGTTTAGGCCTCTTTATTGCGCATGAAATACCGAAACACGATTTAACATTGTATCCCTAGATTCCTTCACATAATCTCCTTCAGTATACGTTCATCCGTACCTATACAAACAACTAATCCGAGATTTCGAGGGCCAGCAAGATCGTCCTTACATGAACTAGTTGGCAGATCAATATTTTACATAGGGTCGGGTTCGCTTAATTGGGTTGGCTCGCGCCTCATCCTGAGCCAACCAGTAGTGATTTCGAGGGCCAGCCCATACGCGTGAGGTAACTCGACCAATGATTGATGTCCGGCTCTCGCAGAGGTCGATCCGCGCCCAAGTAAGAACCACATGATTGGAGTTATCATCGCAAAGGGTCATAATGCATGAATATGGGGAGGGTACAAACGCATCCTCAGGTATGCGAAACATGTGTCTTGGCCAATGTATACACACCCCTGAAAATTCCAATTTGGTTCTATTGCCTACCCTTGATATCCTTGAAAGAGGTCTTTGAATGTGACACGAATATTCCATTGGTCAATACTAGTCCGCGTACTGTCTGCGTCGAGTGAGAATCAAATGTAAGAAGAAGAATAGACTAATCGTCTTAAATTGACCTGCGAATCGGGCGTGCAACACCAACACAGATTTATAGCTATAGGAACTTCTTGATGTCAACGCAATGGAGCGCTATCCATTAGAATTCACCTTGAGCCTAACAAGCAATCTGGTCCAAATCTGGTCCGCCGAAAAACCGACAAGCCTCCGACGCTGTGGCGTTGGATACCAAACAGCTTCTTTTACATAATCCCAGTCCACTTTTTCGTTCAACCCATCACGTCCCTCGCACTGAGAAAACAGGATCGCGTGACTTCAATCCTAAAATCCCCATTGGAGATTCAGAATTTGGCATCCTTTCTATAACTTGACGTTCCAGGTCTCACTCGAAAAAGGCATGCTCAATAATATACTTAATATACTGGAAAGATGGCATCCCCGCAGAGACAAAAAGTGAGTCCAGTCTCGATACACGGCATGGTTATCCTCATAGAAATACAGGATGACTGAACCATGCTTTCCTCAAGAGATCTTCGATGCTATCATCGACCAATTAAAGGACGACACCGACACTTTGAAGGAAATCTCCCTCGCATCAACGATCCTGTCTCCAAGGACCCGCGTTCATCTATTCTCTTCCGCGAACCTATCCAGCAAAACAGACTGCGTGCGCCTTCGAAAACTAATCACCCAATCCCCACACCTTGCACGCTACTTCACCTCACTCACCTTCGAATTCCACTCTCGGTCCGTCGCGAGATCGCTTCCCGCCAAAATTCTCCGCAAACTCGTCAACATAAGAGAGCTAACACTGATCTTGGGTGATTTCTCCAACTTCCGCCCTTCTGTCATCTCTGCCCTCGGAGCTCGTTCATACACATCCCTCGCCTTGATCCTCATAGATTTCGACTCAGTCACAGACATCTGCCCCCTGACGCGCAACTCCCCTTCTCTCAAAACTATGCACATCGTAGCTCCGCGTTTTTTTGGTCTCGACGTTCCTTGCGATCATGAGGGTGTTGTCCCTTCTCCGACCTCCCTGAGTATCACTGACACCGAGAGCGATGCTGGAACCATTTTAGGATCAATCCTCTCACCGCGTCAGTGCCCCATCTCCATGGAAAGAGTCGATACTTTGCTTATCCTGATTTCCCATACCAACCCTGCCCTCATCGAACAACTCAACCATTTCCTGGATGAAATGAGCGTCGAGCGGGCTTTGACTTCCTTCCATGTCACCCATACAAGCACAGGTACTCATAACATTTGTTGTCTTTTGCATTCTGACAATCAGCGTAGTACCTCCAACTCTGACACTTCACATTTCCCACGTCAACACCCTTATGATCGACATATCCGCCTATCGCAATAGCGACGAGCCAAAATCCATCATAGGCTGGTGGATAACAGCCTTCCTCGATATCGAAGCTGACTGTGCTCTCGAAGTCGTACGCCTGAAGATAGATGTCAAGAATATGCCGTCACTCTCCGCACCTGACTACGGGGACATGTGGAAGCAGATGAACGAGGCCCTTCATAGAATACCTTCCCTAAAGACCGTAGACCTCGCGTTCTATAATATGTCACCAGACTGGCCTTGGGATGAGGCAGAGGCGCGGATGATAGAAGGCTTCAAGATGAGGGATCCTCAGCGGGAGCTCAATATCCATGTTACCACATTCTCCTCATCGGTGAGTTCAGAGATTGTTCTTTTATTTTATAGCAAAGGAAGGCTCAGACTTTTCCAGCTACCCCTCTTCAGCTTCGGGTCTTGCAACTGCACGAAAGGTGATGCAGATCAGTGATTACTGACCTCGGTACGTGTTTCGGTTTCTGAACACCCTTCAACGTACTAACTACCTCAAAGACAGGCGTTTGAAAAGGATAATACTTGATTGGATAAACCAAAACTGTATCAGGGAAATTTCTTTCATTCTATATAATCATTTGAGTGAATCATTTGCTTTCAAATTTCAACTCAGAAATGAAATGGGCGTGCATCGACTGGATATCCTGAACATGTCCCGGTCCGGAACGCTCAAGTCTCAGTTAAAAGGAGAAAGCATAGGTAGATATGAACAGCATACCCCTTCCACGGAGCTAGTGACAGGTGGAAACTCGAGAGAGCCAGTCGAAACTGAGGTGATGGTAAGGGGGCAAATGAACTCCAGTCCAGCCAACAAGACGTCCATTCAGCACTGACACATGGTGCTGGCGACATTGCCCTTCTCAAGTTTTCGTCCAGATTTACGCTTCACTGCGGCTGTTTTTACTCTCACTTCGGACTCAGAGGACCCAAGGCACGCGTATCCTCGACTCAATGGAATTAAACCGGCATTTCCATTTCCTTACAACGGCGACCATCAGTACGTCAATCTTTCCCCGTCCCATTACCGTAATTGCTGACCCATGTTCCGATCCCTTTGTCTAGTTAGACTGATCTCCAAGTCGTGGAGCCCCAACAGTACTCAATCTCTGCTGCTGACATCATCAAAGCGTCCGGGGAGAAGAACAAATAAACCGCTCGTTCCTCTTTGATCTGCCGAGTGGAGAGGAGGTCAAATGATCGACCTTGCTTGTGTTGTACGCAACCTTTGTTTCGTTCACGCTAACTAGAAGGAATAACGACCTGTACGAGTTCTCGGTCAATCTTCTTTATCCCTGATAGAGGTGATATCAACACAAAGTCAGATGTCTCGTAATCCCCGAATAACACCATTTCGACAGGTGGCAGTGTTTTACGCAATCAAGTCGTTCTTCTACCTTGAACGGTAGGTCGAAGAACGACTCCATTGCATAAAATGTATCTTTGACGGAAGCGTTTAGTAAAATAATACTTAGCAGGGAGCACAAGTTTACCCATCCATGCCCAAAAGTCCAGCTAGTACATATATCGTGAAGAACTATAATGAACTCGTCGTTAGTCAGCGAGATGTAGATAGAATACCATAGGGAAGAAACATACCTTGACGTCGACACTGAACTAGTGCCGGCGCTACGAAAACGTTGTTTCATTCCCTTGGCACTAGCACTGGTTTCAGGTTACATGTTTAGAAAGAGTCGTTTGAAAAAGACAATTCCAGTGCTATTTCTCTGCGGAGAGCAACGACACCCACCTCGCAGGTGATTATCCCGTCCTTTGTGGTAGACCAGGAAGCCACACCGTGAAGATAAAAATTCCTTGTCTCATAAAGATATCCATGAATATGACCGACTTGTTTTCCTTGAGTAGACGCAACTCGAATATCCTTCAGCTGAACTGATCCGGCGGAGTTCTGTTCTAACGTTCACTATCTGCAATCAGCATGAAATATGACGGTGTGGGCTAGGAAAGAACGTCCTTTTATTGAGTGGAACTCATGGAATTGACGCGTGCGAACACTGATCTCAATAATAAGTTCGTGGAATATTGACTAGGTTAGAAATGGTGAAATTCTGAGGAATAGAAATGATTTAGTGTGAAGGCTAGCTCACTGAGAATCCGTGGCTGGGGGTTTTAAGTCTAAGTATTGATTGCCATCGGTCACACAGTAGATTATTGTATGCTGCCGGAGACGATAGTAGCAATGAGGGATACCGAGTCTACTATCGGAAGTGTTATTTATGACCCACTGGTGTACGAACAGAGCCCTATAATCACAGACAGCGAGCTATTATAGGAAAAGAGGTGATGAGAAGTATACAACGCCACATACCACGAGTCGAATTCTCTGGCCAATTTCCACCGTCGTGCCGGATTGCATCCTTATTTTAGCACCACAGAGTAACGAAAGGTCACAGCTTTGGATAGCGTTGCTCGTGCCGTGTTATGAAAGCAAGTGTGCATTACTGAGCCCGTGCGGAGCTCGATAAAAAGCATCAAGGGATGACGGGAGAAGATGCCATGATACTTCGTGCAATGGGTGCTGTTACTAGTCCACAGATACAAGTCGAGCTATCGAAGATATTTGTTAGGAAACCAACTCAACGCCTCGAATGAAAACCAAAACAGAACCTGGTTAGAAAGTCATATTTGGGGTATATTTTTGGCCTACGTTTTCCGTCAGACTTGAGTAGACGTGGGTCCTTGCTTCCATCTCTTTGTGATGTGCTATTCTCGCATGCGCCGTGGTTGACAGTCAGAAATGCAATGTTTGGCAGGCTCTTGATGTTTATTTGGCAATGCTATTTTTGGCTCTCTTCCAACTCTCTTCCCGTCTGCGCGTGTATTCTGCTTCTTTCTGTGCTTCTTCCTTCTGATTTCTCATCGCTACTGCTTATTTTTCTCGAGATTATATATTCAGGCACGAGACGCTTCCCTGCTTGACAATGACTTCAATATGGACCGAGACCTGTTCGTATTTGACTGGATTCGAGGCGTACACGTCTTTGTTGGAGATCTTTTGGGGTTTAAGGTGCGTAAACTATTCGTACTTTTGATCCTCGTTGGTTGATGTCCTGTAACGTAGGCTTTCTTCCTGTGAGCCCCTACTATCCTCCGTCTCTTCGTTCTGTAGACCATGAATCTTTTCTGTATCAAAGGCAGGCATCTCGTTAAACGGATGGCCTCAGTCCCGTAATTATGGGATGACAGCCGATGACATTGCCCGAGAACAGGTGGTCACCGTGGTAGGGGAACAGGAGGAGCGGTGCGGTGTACTCTATCAACATTAGAACCACATCTTCCCACTACCACCTCGCTCTCTATGTCCTCTACGATGCTCGGATGGTGGGTACATAAACACAACCCACATAATTCTTGCTCTAGCTGCAAACGCCTTTTAGCGTCAAAGCTCGCACGGACCAAACTCGCAAGTCGTGGACGAGTCGGACATATGGTGGGATAGAAACTGGTGGAACGTGCCGTAGTGTCTTTGGAAGTATGTATGCTTGTTCTGATTCTCTGCGTCGATCATTGAGATCATTTGCACAGCCTGTCACTCCTCTGCGACCTCAGACCTGCCATATGACGTCTTCAACAATGCTACCTAGTATCCTCCATCTGTGTGCTCCTCGTTCAGTCTTAGAACTACATCCATGCATCACCACCTCACTCTCTATGCACCTCCTATGCTGCTAGCGCGAAGGGTACACGAACACGAACCGCATTTATCTCACCCTATCTGCAAACACCTTTCACCATTGGGGCTCGCACGGTCAGACTCGCAAGTCTTGGAGAAGTCAGATTTGTGGTCTGTATGTAGCACGATAGAGACTGGTGGAACGCGCAGGAGTATCTTTGGAAGTATGTATGCACATTCTGACTATCGGCATCGGGGACTAACATCATTCGTGCAGCCCGTCACTCTCCTCTGCCCCTCTGCCCGCCGCCTTCGACGACGCTGTATATACTCTTGAATGTCACATCTCGCGTGTTAATTCCCGTCCATCATAACAGGCGATGACGGATTTCCTAGGAGCATCGAAGCCACCAAGAAGTGCATAGGGGAGGCACATTGCAAAGGGAATGTAATTCGCTAGTGTCGCAAGCTAGGGAGGGCTTCAAGAGTGCTACGTCCTTCTAAGTGTCATTATTCCTAGTTGCTGAGATCAAGATCCAGATCGCGGCGTTGCCAAGACTGCGTTGCTTCGAATTCGGAATGGGATAACGAGCACTCTTCCTTCCGCAGCCTTCCATTTGGTACATGACCTGTGGTATACAAATTTTCTTTCTCCCTTGGCCAAATATCATCCCTTATCTCTACACGTATACTTAAAGAAAAATGCTGAGCTGGTTGGATTCGTTTCTGCAATCAAGCCTCATGATGTGATATAATACACAACGATCGTTCCATCACCATATGTCGGGTATATGATGAAACTGCTTGATCTCTGTTGCTGGAGATGTTCAATACAAATGTAACAAGACAGCCGTAAACCGTACAAAAACTGTTGTCCGTATATGGACAATTTCTCAATGCCGATGAAGATCGGTCGTCAGAATGTGAGCGTGATTAGCTTCATCAGAGTCACATTTACTTATACGATGCCATTATGTGATCCCCTGCCGCTCTTTCGACAACCGTATGAATACAGCCCAACTTTAGAGCTGTTCATGGTGCTGATTCACATCCGCATATGCCATATGCATCCCTAATCACTTTATCTGTTATGTTCCACCGTTGCAATCATATTGTTGTCTTTTTGGGACCGTCCATGTTTAGGACTTTGCTGTACAGTAAATGTCGCATACCCGGAACATGGGACGACAGAACCTTTCCGTCTTCAATTCCCACCATGTTTTCCAGTACTCCATCCCCCTCTCGCTCTCGCCGCCAGCCTGGAATCGAAGGGCCAACCATGCTCAATGGACAACCAAGGTCGCGTTCTGATCACAGTGATTGGAATCAGTCTTCAAAACGATCCACCATGCAATGGACACCTACTACTACCTCACAATATCAAGCCCAGCCTCAACCGCAATTTCAGCCTCAACGCCATCAGTCTTCCCATGTTATTTCCCAGGGTGTTGCAAACCGGCGTGATTGGTAGTGGATATGGTCCTTATTCGGTAAATATCCTTCTATTTTCGTGACCATTCTCTAATAACTGCTGCAGTACAGTCCCACCCAAGCCAAAGACGGTGGGATGTACGCTACCTCGCGTTTTTCTGCACCACCTGTCACCACGCCTCTAGTCCATCGGACCAGCAGAGTCGCCAATACCAGCACCGTGACTACTACTAATATTACCCCGGTGCGATATTTCTGGGACAAGGATCCGGACTTTGACGACATTATCCATAATCCTGATCCCATCGTGGATACTAGAATGGACCACTCGTGCTCCCCTTTCTCCTTGCGCGGCTGGGAAAACGCAAGCACACTTGTAGTCATTCTTGTGGGGCTGATCACCCTATTCATCGGTTTCCCCATCATCAAATATTACAAACGCACGGTCAATACTGTGTCTGGATTTAACCTTGGTGGAATCAATTCCACTGGGCAGATACCGGTATTTCCTGGGCTCCCGAGCCTCATAGATACGGATACTCCCTCGGATGCATATTCGCGTACAGGGCACGATGGGAAAAAGTACAACTTGGTGTTCAGTGATGAGTTCAACACTGATGGACGTACGTTCTATCCGGGAGATGATCCGTATTGGGAGGCAGCTGACATGCACTATTGGCCCACGGGCGATCTTGAGTGGTACGATCCGAGCGTATGTCTCCTCGGCATATTCGGTAATCCTGTTCTCACCTATTCCGCTATTATTTAGGCTGCCATCACACGAGATGGAAAGCTAGTCCTTACAATGACCGAAGAAAATATTCACGACCTCAATTTCAAGAGCGGTACGTTTACAGTTTAAATTTGATGTTCTCCGAGACTGCGTAATTGAAGGGTCGACAGCTATGATTACCTCGTGGAACAAATTATGCTTCACTACTGGATATATCGAAGTTTCTATCAGTATGCCTGGTAGTCCCCGGGCAGCGGGTTTATGGCCTGGTAAGATTATAGCGATTCCCATGTACTTGAAACCTTCCAATGACTTCTTCCAGGTGCATGGACTATGGGAAATTTAGTATGAATTCTTCGTACCCCTTCCAAATTACTGTTCTCACTAGATCGTAGGGCCGTGCCGGCTACGGCGCCACCACAGAGGGAATGTGGCCATACAGCTACGACTCATGCGACCTTGGTACATTCCCAGGACAAACTACGGCATCAGGCGAACCAGCTGCCGCAAATACTGGTGGGAACGACGGCTCACCAATCAGCTCCCTCCCTGGACAACGCCTCTCCGCATGCACATGCGACGGATCCGACCACCCAGGACCTACCTCGAGCATAGGCCGCGGCGTCCCTGAGATTGATATCATCGAACACCGAATTGACACGACAATTTGGCAAGGCCAGGTTTCGCAGAGTTATCAGGTCGCGCCGTTCAATTACCATTATGACTTTGATAACTCGTCCAGTGTGACGACTATCTATGACGATAGAATAACTGAGTTCAATTCGTATAAGGGTGGTAATCTGCAGCAGTCTGTGTCAACGCTGACATACATAAACGAGACACTGTATAATGGAACTGGATATGGGGCGTACGGATACGAGTGGTATTCAAATCCTGATAAACGCGATGAGGGGTATATCACTTGGTATAGTGATGGTATACAGTCATGGACAATCACTTCCGGCACCATCGGAACTGATTCTACTGTAGAAATCAGCGAGCGGCTTATTCCAGAGGAGCCATTAGTGGGTACCATTCTTTTTTTCTTAAAATCGTGCAGAACTGATATGCGTCGCTTGTAGTACATCATCCTCAATCTAGGAATGTCATTGTCTTTCCAGGCGCCGGATTACAAACACTTGTCCTTCCCGAGTTCAATGTATATTGACTACGTACGGGTGTATCAACGTTCTGGGACTGAAAATGGGTTGACATGTGACCCCCCAAAGAGACCTACAGCGGATTATATTACTAAGTATGTTCTCTGTTTTCTGGTGTGGGTTGTTTTCTCATTGTTTTGTGATAGTCACGCCGAAGCATACAACAATGCTAATTGGTCGACGTGGGATGCGGCGGGGTACACGTTTCCTCGGAATTCCCTTTACGATGGATGTTAACAATCTGGTATATACTATGAGGACGGGGAGATGTCTATGATCTATACTATTACCTCTACTCTTTATTGACATTGTCTGGAAGTACATGTTAGCCGATGTAGGAGAACAAGCGAGAACTCTACCAGTGATGGATCAAGGGCATAGTCGTACTTGCAGTTACATTCAGCTAAATTCAAGAGAAAGAAGGCCCCCACTAGGATGTATTTGGACCGCCACAAGTTGATACTTGTGCTTGCTTCGTACATCTGTCAACTTTGCTTTATATCCTCTTATAATCCTGGTCGTCTTTCTTGTAATCACGAGTAGGGATTGAATAAGAAATAAGAATGTCTCCTTGACTTGGTCTAATGCGCGACATTCCAAACCTCAACTAGAAGGTTTTCGAGGTATGAAGATGAAGATCATGTCATTCTCGAACCCATGCTTTGCCCCGAATTCCGTGTCCGATATCGATCAATGTTACAAGGTATGTTTGTAGACGTCCTCCTTATGCATACACCGCTGCAGTGAATGGGAAGGAAACCATTTATCGTCGTCCCAAGAACGAAAACTCGTCACGACTTTAAATTGGAAGGCGTAATTTTTCCTTCCCTTCTGTGGACCTGAGACCAGCTAAATCAATGTAAAAGGTAATGAAATAAAAAGCTTACCTTCAACCTCAACGTCGAATCGCATTTTGATAGTGACGAGCGAGGAAGAGGCGAGCAACGAGAAATCTGATCACGTTTCTTCAGTGGCGGGTATGGAAGACAACAATGTATTAGGGTAGGAAAATGCAATAAAAAATATACGACATACTAAAGCAGAGAGTATATCAATCAAGGTTAGCTTTATTACTGGCAGGTAGAAACAGTCAAAGAAATTTCGACACTTGTGTCGCGAGAGAGAGAGAGATCGCTACAGGAGACATTTGTTAGTAAGGCAGTAAGGCTCACGTCCAGATGGAAACACGTTCAGAATTCTATGATGGAGAGCAATGTTTGGGCCTACCTTTGCGTGAATGGACGGGAATGTTACGGTTCCTTTACTAACTAGTGGGGTGAGGGCCGACGCATCCACGCGGCAGGTCCGAGTCCTACGTATATTTTTTTCCCTCCAAATTTGTAAGCCGGCTGTTCAGCGATTGGGATAGTGTGCCATCCTGGATCCCTTCCGAAATTAAAACACAAGGAAATAAAACGCGCCAAGTCTCAGTCGAGCAGCATGCGAATTCGATCGATGCAAGCAGGTGATCTGTCCAGATAAAAAGAATAGATATTTAAAACAGCAAAACAGAAAAACAAATTATAACTACAAAATACAGAAATAGAGGCGATAGGGACGCAAACTCATCACCCAACACTGACCTCAGAATGATGGACGGGTTCTACAACGTGCAAGAAGCCAGTAAGAGACGGGTACAACCTCGAAACGGACGAAGACTGACCGACTTTACTGTTAGGAAGCTCCATCGACGCCCTCGTTGAGGACAGGACGAAGATAGATAGATAGATAGATAGATAGATAACCGGTCGAGGTCCCAAAAAGGAACACCGGGGCTCTGTGCCGAAGAAAGACCCCCATCATCTCGCGCGGATAGCACAGATGAGCAGTGACAGACAACTTCATAAAACCATACAGACACAGCGTTGGAAGAAGCAGTACTCGCATTCGATGACAACGCACAGTGCTGGCGCTTGATACGTCGTGGAGGGACCACGGACGCAGCGGATGAGATGATTTTCGCCGCCACAGGCGCACTAGTGGTGATGGACTTGCCGCCAATTCTAAAGGAGTATCCATGAGTGCTGACATACAGACGTGAGACCAACGAATAACCTTACCAGTCCCAGGGGAATGAGAGAGAAGATCCGATTTATGAGTCAGTCAGTGACGCTGTCTGGGCTGGGCAGCCAAGGATTAGATAAGATAATCGAGGCGCTGAGAGGTATGCAACACACAGGTGAGAGAGAGTTCCAACAGGGATGATTACAGGATTGGGCGCCGACGATGGCACAGGGGTACGACGCGGTGGAGTTCTCGAACCAATACTTCCGGCCCGTGGGCAGGAACAGTGGCCCGGAGGAGATACAGATCAGCGAAGACATCGACCCTAAAGGGATACTGAGGAGACTGGGGGGATGAATATGGCGCACACTGAAGACAACGAAGTCAGCTATTTCAGAAGGATAATCGATGGAGGAAAGAAAAAGTGAGTGTTACGTTATAAGCCCAATGTACGCCATCTGACGGACGCCAACAGATATGTGAAAGCGAAATCACAAATGTTCAGGATCGGGGATATCGTCGAAAGGCAATGCTCAATAGTATTCGTGAAGTGCAGAGGTGGAGACGTAAGGATGAAAGCGATACTGAGGGTGTTGGCACTTGTTATCTGCAACCACACAATGGTAAGCACCAACTGAACATCTGATGATAAGGAATAACCAACCGAGTTTTTTTATTTTCCCTTTTTTATTTTTTGTTTGTTTTGTCGTCGTAGAACGCGGCGAAGAACAAAAGTGCCGTGGGCAAAAACGGCACATGACGCACACCGAGGATGAAGCTGAAGTGCCGAATAGGGTTCGAATACGAAGAAAGCGAAGGATCGATGGAAGGAAAACACAGGAGAGGTAAGAACACCAGGAGTGGGGAGGAAGACGAAGAGAGGGGGGCGACAAAGAAGAGGGGGGAGAAGGGGGAGAGAAAGGTCAGGCCATGGAGGTAATCAAGTAGGTTACATCAGAGGAGACGGTAGGAAGAGAGCGGAAAATAGCAAGTTCTTCCTGAGAGATATGATATCGGTCTCGAGACGGATGTTTAAGAGAGAGTAACAAGAAAAAATCAGGGAGAAAATCGGAAGCAATCGTAACGGGTGAAACCGGGGTCAAATAGAAAAATCCCACGGAAAGCTCAGGTAGGGAAACCGGCAAATACCGTTAAGGTTTGATACCTCGAATATATTTTCCCACGGCCAATTCCACCTGCATAATGACCGAGAATCCTATATTCATAGGACTCGGAATGCGTCGTATGAGCCTGATCAACATGAAGGAAGAAGGGGTTCTGGGCCGTTGTTCCGGAAAACGGCAAGCCCCGTTCTCGGCTCTTGATCGCTCTCTTCATCCTTCCTATTGGACTACTCGTCTTTCTCTTCAATCGTTCCGTTACCTTGAGACTTAAAATTTTGGTGTGACGATTGGCGACGACTTCAATACAGACCGACCCGTGGTGTGCGTACGCGTTCCCTTGGGGTTCGAGGTGTGCAGTCTATTTTTATGTCGCCTTTCGTTAGCTAACTTCTTCGCGTGCGTAGATTCTTTCCACATGAACGCCCACCATCCCTCGTCATTACTACCTTACTACGTGTCAGTACACAAGCACGATTCCCACTTCCGTGGTACTTGCTGCAAAAGTCCTTTACCATTGGATCTGATGCCGACGAAGCTTTTGCAACCGACGTTAGAACTGGATTAGAAGTATTGAAGATGCTGGATCTATAGTCGATGTGTGGTGGGTTAGTAATGCAGGGGAGGATCTTAGGAGGTACGTCTTGTCACCCTGACTATCAGCGTCGAGGACTAATCTTTTTCATGCAGCATGGCACTCGCGACTGTCAAGGACACTATGTGCTCTAGCGTGACATATCCCGCCTGCTAACATGTGCGGATGAGGACGGTAACTATAGGCGCGTCGCAGAGAGAATGTGTTTGAATCGAGTGCCGCGGGTTAGGGAGGGCCTGGAGCGGTACCGGTACGTGTGTTGGAGGCAAATCGCTGTCTTTTGTGGCTGATAGAATTCGAAGATCAAGATCATGGTGTTCTCGAAACCGTGCTTTGCTGTGAATCCGTGTACATCCGATATCGATCTTTCCACGGAGGAACGTTGTAGACGTCTTCCTGGCGCATACGCCGCAATGAATGGGAAGGAAACCATTTATCCTCGTCCCAAGAACGAAAACTCGTCACAACTCTAAATGGGAAGGCACAATTTTGCCTTCCCTTTTCCGTCGTGAGTGGATGCGCGTGCTCCTTTTCCCGTGTATTACCTTCACCTTGTTGAGGCGGAGAACAATGCCAGAAACGGGGAAATCGTTGGTGTTTGGCAAAGACCATTCTGGGTAATTGATCGCTCTCTTCGTTCCCATCATCTCCACGCGATCCTTACTTTGTGTATCGCCATTGATATTTAATATTCAGTCTCTGGAATGGTAGCCTTCTTCTCCAATCCCTCTTTCGCGATGCGTGATGTGAACAAGAGTCGAGACCAGTAACATGCATACGCGTTCTGTTGGGGTTCATGGGTACGTACTAGTATATTTTTACATCACTTCTCGTTTTAATTAATTTCTTCTCACGTGCCCAGATTCCCGTCCCTACCCCAACCTCACCAATTGCGCTAATGCTAAAGCTTTCCCACGAACGAGATGGAGGACAGACCAGTGCAAATGACCATGCCTTCTACGAATAGCGTTGGTATAAACCGAAATTTTGCAACCAGCGTCAGTACCGGATCGCTGAGTCGGGAAAAGGCTGGATCTGTGGTCAATGTGTGGTGGGATTAAAGACTATATCAGAATTCAGAGGGCATGGCACTTTGGATGTACGTCTCTGAATTCTGATTGTTGGTGCCGGGGACTAATATTCTTCGTACAGCGCTCTCAGCAACACCTTATGTGTTCCAGCATGACGCGTCTCATTCCCTAGTACATGTTTGTCGCGTCAGACAAGGGTGGAAACCTTAGAAGTGTCGAACGCGCGTATAAGTAACGGCGAAGCATCTCAGGGAAAGAATGTGCTTAGTTAGAGCGCCGCGGGTTAGGCGGTCTCCGGAGAGGGTTAAGTCCTTTGAAGTTGTAACGCGTAACCTTTGGTGGCTGATATAATCCGAAGACCCAGCTTACGGTGATCTCAAGACCATGCGTGTCTGCGAATTCGGCGCACAACCAATCTTTCCATGAGTTGTTCAGGTCGTCTCTATGCATATACGTCCAACTGCTCCTTCGTCGACAGACTTCGCACCCTCGTTATCGTGAAACTCCGTACATCTGGCGTCGTCCTCGTCCCCGGCACCGGGGAATGCTCCAGCTAATCCACCGCCCTCTCCTTCACCCAATCCAGCGTCACCGACCCGTCCTCGCTGGAGACACTCCCGATCCACGCCATGCCGCTGCCTTATATTGTAAAATCAACACCGAGAACCCCGACTCTGGCATCCTCGTCGTCCCCACCCCTTAAAGCGTTCCGTAATCCGTCAAGAAGACCATCATAAAACACTTCGGATGAATCGATCGTTGTGCTAACGTCCGAGGTCAGTCTCCGGTTTCTCTTACCCACCCAAGTCTTACCTTTTTTGCAAAGATGATGGAAATCGTAAGTAGATGGTCCTCTATAGCTACTGAAGACTGGTTCATATGGAAGCGAGTTACCGTCTTGGAGAAACAAGATTGGCTTGTCACTCATATCACCTCTACAGGGCCCCCCTCCGAGTACGAGAACATTGTCGCGTCAGCGGTGGTGATCGCCTCACCTAACTAAAGAGTATATATGCGCACGAAATACGCAGCAAACGATGGCCAAAAGTACATCTCTCTCGATCCTCCTCCTTCCCCTTGACTGATACACTTTTTTCTCTTAGTCCAAGTTCCACATCAACGTCATCCTCCCGAATACATCTAGCCCAGCCACCTTATCCGAGATCACCGTCGACGAGTACACGGTTTCACGAGGCAGGCGGCCTCACCACTGTGATGTATTCATGTAGCAATGGTTCATGATGGATAACATTCTCTGAATGGAAAGTAGACTCATCGAATCGTATTTCTTTTTGTCAGTTTGAACATTCAGCAGGACTTGGCTTTCCCCGATGATATTTCCTCGAGCTGAAGCAGTCATAGCTTTATCTGTCGATGATTGACGTACCCTCGAGAAAAGGACCCAGACCTTGCCCTTGCCCTCGCAAAAAGAAAACCTTCGTTCAGCCTCCATTCCATTCCGTCCGAATCGTGGTTCCGGACTCTGGAACTGATCGCGAACTTGACCCCAGATAGATGAAGAAGAATGTTTCCGAGTCTAGGATTCTCTGTACGGTATGCGACGACGACGGACGGATTGTCAACTTTCCCGGAATTCCCCAATAGGTAGGGTAAGTAGGTAGACAGCTTCCCCTGGTTTTATGTAGACGCTAACTGAACCGTGTTCTATGCTATTGAATATGAGAGCGAAAAATGCACAAGCGCATGTATGTATACCGTTCTCCGTACGCTTATTATCACACCTTCAGCGTCTCGAGTTCCAATTCAACCGGGCTAACAGATATAGGAACTACCCTAGGTATGACTCGGACCTAGATGATGATATTGTTACTGGTACCGCTAACATGCGACTAGATTCTAACCGGCCCAAGGTCAGCATCTAGTATATGTCCTGTCATCTAAGAAGGCCTCTAAGCTCGCATTGCCTTCTTACAATCCTTGACGCAGCTCCACCGAATGGACACGTTCAATACTATAGGGTACCGCGATCCGGTCTTACAATACAAGGTCCAAGATTCCGGCTTTTCATGAATTCGCTCGGGGGGAGGAGGTGCGGTTCAACGGCGACCTCTTTGTTGAGGCATTTGAGAGGATCAAATCACCTTGAGAGGGAGGAAGACAGCTTGGGAATTTTTCACAGGTATTCCATAACTGTTGCATGAAGGAGCGGTGGGCAACGTAGGTAATCCCATGATGTTCACGAGCCTTTAGATAGAATTTATATTCTCCTTTGCTTGACACTTTACCCTCAAGGTTAGCCTAGCTTTGACGTATGCTGGAACGTAGAAAAGAACGAAAGACTCAAGGAGGATCTTAGCGGAACCTACGACGTGCATACGAGCGATTACGGTTTTCTCTGATTTCCTGTTCCCAACACCGGGGAATTTATGCATTGTTTTCTTCATGATCCGTCTCTGATGCTCAACGTCTATTAAGCTACTCCATTTCCTAGATGCGTACAATACCACCTACCTATCCATCGACTAGCAACTCACTAAAACTACAAGAGGACTTGGACTTGCCACGCTCCCCCCGCTTCATCCTCTGTTGATTGTCCAACCTACATCTAACTGATCCAGAAGTAGGGACGGACTCATCCCCATTCCGAGCAGAGTTCGTCTCCTCTGGCATTCGGTAAAGCCAGGTGGCTCCGTTCTTGTTGGTTACAGACTTGTACTGAGTTGTTGTTGGAGTGAATGTCACACACGCGCCGCTGATTATAATGATGAGGACGAGAGAAACACCGGTCAGGTTTGGATCATGACATGAATGACGAGACGCGGAGAGGATGAAACTAGGCGAAGTAAGCCATTCATTGGTTCACTAATAACGAGGAACCACAACACACCTTGGAGCACTGGCTGAGTTTCAGAAACGAGTGTAACGCTATAAGGACACTCACTGGTTAGTGGCGCTTCCTATTTCCGACTCCCCTCAATGGTTGGGGGATATTAGAAAAGCGGTCGTTTAAACATGGCGTGAACTATATGGATCTAGCGGAAAGTACTAGGCCCTATGGTGGTGAAATAAAAAGGCTCTGACAAATCAGGGTTCTTCAAGTTTTGCGACGACGTTGACGTCGGTTTAATGGTCATACGAGAACGACTCAAAATCTTGTCTTACAGTCTACTCTCAGAGAAAAAGAAGGCCCAACGCGAGAACAGAAAAAAAGGGGGAATGAAAGAATAATAAAACATACAAATCATGGAACGGAATGGGAAGCCTCTTGAAATTTGACATAGGCTGAATTGCTTCCCCTTCTTGCCACCAAAGGTAAATTAATCTTCTAGTCTCCATCAGGGATAATGTAAGTTCCGTTCGGAGCCTTCTTCCGACTAACTGACACCTTGCACGAACACGAGGATACTATCACCATGCGCCATGTCACTCATTAGCTGACTTCTGAAAGTACAATCGGAATAAGCAGGCCGGTCACAAGATAGTAGTGAACAATTCAATCACAAATTGTGGAGAATGATGTGCATGAGAAGCTATTCCGAAAAGGTCGCAAACACTACCGCTCTCCAAAAAAACCCGGACAATTTTCGAAGTCACCGGAGGCATCGAAAGCTTTATAACCAACTACAAAATTGCATGGATCTCCCAGTCGCCTCTCATGCTCAAGAGTCTCTTCATCGTTACTTGCCTGCTCATCTTAGGCGTCCACGCCTTACCCACCGAGCTGTCCAACGCTACTGCGACATCGAACGCAACCGCAACGAAGATAGTGGAGCGTGCTGGACCCACCTTCACGCTTAACTATCTGACCTACCCTGAGTCATCCGAGAACATATGCCAGTCTGCTTCTTTATTTACTTGAACTCGATATTAACTTGATCAATAGGCTTTTCCTGGTTCTGTACATCACCCCTCTCATCCTCTCCCCCCTCCCATTGACTCCACCTCTCGTTGACAGGTAACAACGGACCTCACTCTGTAGCTCCTGCCCGCCCTAGCGCATCTGCCCATCGGGCCAGCAATAGTTGTGGCAAGGTTAACCCAAACCGGTGCAGCGTTCGCGTATGTCCCTCTCTGTCTTGGTATCTTAGGCGGAAAACTAATGTACATACATTTATCAGGCGGGTCATCTCCCCGGGTTCCAGTGCGATGAATGGCCTTGGGCGAATTCCAATGCCGGGGGTGCCAATGCCGCTACGAGGTGCATTCCTACTGCGGATAATACCGGTGAGTTTATTTTCGTGTACTTTGTTATGACCCAACTGAGGGAACCACTCTTTTTCTTCCTAGGATCTGGTGCGCAATGGGGGAATTTCATCAATGTACGTCTCATCCATTTCTGCTATGTTAGTACTAAACCCCTGGTGGTCGTGCACATACAGAACAGAGGCTCTCAAGCTATTGGACGCGTTTTACAAGATAATGTTGATGTGAGTTTATTCTTCCTCCCCATTCAAGTCCTTCCTCCTTCTAAAGCTCCCCTAGTTTGCCGAGATCGAGATCAGCAATGTCCCAATCACTGCGCAGTTCTGCTTGGGAGTGCGTGGAAGTAAGTCGTTGTTGCTATTTGTTCCTCCAGATCGAACTCATTCAATTATTCTCGGTACAGCTACTATCACCCCGGCGATGTGTAACTCAATTGCTAGTGGTCAGCCGTTTTTGCAAAGGATTGGTTGAGCATAACTCCTGTCTTGCGCTGCTTCGAAGATCTAGCGCCAATTTTCCTTCTTACCTTCCTATAAACCTACTCATCTTTCACGTAACGAAGAATATGGATTGAATATAAATAAGAATGTTTTGTTGAATTGAACTTACACGCAGCTATTCAAACATTATAGGAACCGAAGCGGCGTAACGTTATGCAGAAAATATTATACCTCTTTAATACAGCGGAAATATAAGCCCATCCCATTCTTTCGATCCTTGCTAATATCAGTTAGTTACTATCTAATCTCCAGTCTAAGCGAAGAATTGAGAATTCCACCCTGTTCATACAATAGATCCACGGTAAAATAATCCATAGAGAATTTCCTGTGTATAGGCTGTCGTGACGAGCTTTTACTAATAGGAATCCAAGAGTTACAACGTCGAACACCTCACACGGGCTTTCGACTTGTGTCTCCAATTCGTTTGGATGGCTCACGCGAAAGGAAATAGGGCACAATTCGTGGTTTGAAGAAAGTGGGATAACCGAAAGGATAGGACGGCAGGGTTATAATTGAGCTATGGAGTCGAAGTCAAACAAGGTATCACTATACCTGTCAGGTCGATTTGACTATCAGTCTTCCAAAGCATTGAAGGAAAACGAAGGAGATGAACTCACATGATATCTGGAGAAACTCCTTTGCCGGGCTGTGTGCTCATACCTTTAATGGGTGCTTCTCAGCAGAAAGCACAACGCTCGCTCTCTGGGGTTCGCGTGAAGATAAACACAACTCTCTACCTCTTCTCGTCGTCTTCATTCGACTATCCTAAGGCGTGATCTCGAGGAAAGGGTTCTTCATGTGGTGTCCTGATCACACCAACGAGAAGCTGTTCGTAAAGTATACTGAGATTTGAATACGTGCTGCAGGGATGTTGGCGACCCAGATGATTTAGAATGAGATGTGAAGTGAGAGGGTAGGAAGTAGCGACCCCGTTGCGGCATGACCTACGAGAGCGACAGAGACAATCCTTTACAATGGTATGGAATCTGTTTACTACTGAGTCATTTACGTCTGTGCGGGGTGTTTCTCAAATGTAAAACTGAGACCCGGTTCCATTACCCTTGATTCCTCGCTCCCACTTGCTCAGATTCAGAACCCGCACTCTGTTGTTCTTGATATGAACGCAAAAAGGAAGCTTGAAAGAAAACTGGGGTGCACTTTCTTTCCTTTTAAGCTATTTTGGTGAGTGTCCTAACGCATGCATGAAACCGTGGCGTGTGAGGTCGGATAGCAGGGACAGAGATTCGGCTAGGATTGGGACGGAGGGAAAGATGAGATAGAACGTTCAGGATATCACCAGGCCAGAGTGAGAATGACGGAAAGAGAGAGGCCAGTGTAAAAGACCGCGCACAATGAAAAATGCTCGAAGGTTGCACGAAGATTTCCAACCAGGGTCCTTGTCGAATTTCAGAATACGTTAGGAAATCTAAAGGCACAGAAATCCACACCAGAGCCAGGCAAGAAACATCGCGGGAAGTAAGCAAATGAGATTGGTCATCAACCCCTAAGTGATGTCATCAGCAAGGCGATTCCTTCCTTTTGCTCCCGCCCATGAGCTCTTCCAGTCCTCCTCGCAAACGTATCAAGCTAGAGTCACCTTCACCACCAGAGACTCAATACGAAGAGGAAAATAACTGCAGTATATGCCTGCAGTCCCTCGTAGACCGGACCGTCATCCCTACTTGCACGCACGAGTTTTGTTTTGATTGTCTGGTTGTTTGGACTGGTGAGGGGATTTTCTTTTCATGTGTACCAAGACTTATGATGTGCGATTTATGGAAATCAAGGAAGTGCCCTTTGCGCACTCAGACGATCGGGGAATACCTAATTCATCGGATTCGCTCGCTGTATGATTATCAGAAGCACTATTTGGCGCCTCTGTCAAAGCCAGGATTATTGCCGTCACGGGCTGCGCAGGACCCGGGACAGGAAGTACGAAGACGAAGGTGTAGGAGGGAGTGGAGTAGACGAAATCAGGACGAGGCAGATAAGTTGGAGCGGTCTATAGAGAAACGGCGGTGGGTGTATGAACATGGGCTTTACGCGAAGGTGCGTCTATTTTCTTTATGCGTGTGCCATCTGACTCCCTCGTAGCATGTAGCCTCGAATGGATATACAAAATACCGGCCATACCCCACACCAGCCCAGTTCGCCGCGAGCCAGGAGATGGTGAGCAAGACGATAATGTTTCTGAGGCGCGAGTTGCGGGTGTGGGACGATTTGGATGTCGAGGTACAATTTTTACCTTCGTCTCTTATATATGGACGACTAACGAGAATGTAGTTCTTCACGACGTTCACGATATCGCTCATGAAATCCATCGATATACGCTCCGAATCAGCTGTGAAGCTATTGGCGGAATTTTTGGACATGGATACGGGTGGAAGGGTTATGGCAGAGCACTTCGCACATGGTGAGTAGCCGTCACTCCCTGCTGAACATTCTTGACTGAAGCGTGTAGAGGTCTATGCATATGTAGGGTCGCCTTTCAAGGACCTCTTCGTGTATGACAGCGTCCTTCAAGTGAGTAATCACAGTGCCGTCCATATCTATCCGTGTACTTACAACAACTTGACTAGTACGACGCGCCTCCCCATGTCAGTTCGCCGCCAAGACAGAGACCAAGACGATGGCAAGACGTTGACGAGCACCCTCGCCAGAGCTCCAGGTCCAGATCCAGCTCTCCGACCCCTTGCAACCATCTCGCACCGTCTTCGCCTCGAGATTCCAGATGGCGCGAAGGTGACATCTCGCCTGTACATTCCATATCCTGGTCACGGTCAGGTCCACATCATCCCAGTGCGAGCAGAGGGTCGTCTCCTTCTCCAGCTCGAGCGACTATATCGGATGACGTAGACACACCTGCCTCGATTACCGATATCGTTGAACCGCCTAGACCTGCTGACGTGAAGGGGTAATCAAGAGCTAGTGACGAACCCCTTGGTGATACTCCGAGTATTCTTGGACTTCAACCCGATGGGAAGGGCAAGTCTAGAGACGATACCCCTCGTCTCTCTCCAGCACCTTCCAATGTACCCGAAACCGCACACGCATGGTCCAAGAAGCCTGTCTGTACCGCCCTGGACTCTTTACGTGCTCATCTGGGTGCGGCGTCGGCATCATCGTCGTCGAGTCCGACTTTGCTAAATCGCCTATCGTCCCGAAATGAGGATGAGAAGAATGAGGATAGATCTGCTGATACGCCCGATTCTCAATCTTCGAGTGACCGGGATCAGCCGTCAGCGGACAGGAAAGAAGACCTCTTGACAGAGGGTCGGGGACGTTTATTGGGAAAGCTGTTAGAGGAGAGGAGGTGTGCGTCTCGCCCTGAAGTAGTTGTTGATGATGTTGAGCGGAGGTTGAGGATGAGAGCATTGCTGAGGGTACGGCTTGCCGCTGAGAAGCGGGCAAGGAAGTGATCTCGTGCGAAACGACGTTGATGGATATGGGAAGCTGCAGATTCCCGTCTACCGCGTTGCGCACGGAGAATGAATCAGCGGGGGGGATAGACAGTCAAGAGAGTTGGTGCTGGAGTATGCCCGCCCTCGATAAGGTGCTTGCCTTCGAGGCAGGCATTTTTTTATCTTTTTTAACTCGATGCTTTGCGGAATCCGGTCCGCCGTTGCCGGGGGATACGAGTTGTGTTATCTGGAGATAACTCGCGCATTTTTCGTGCCAATGTAGATACGATTCCATCAGATGCTTGCATACCCTTTCTTGTGCAAGGCGCTCCTTTGGCTGGCTAAGTAGGTTATGTTAGTGCAGTCGCAGGTTGGAGCCCGGTAATTAGGGAAGCTGAAGAGGCCCCGTGCGATGATCTTGCCGTTCTTTTATGAAACCTCACCTGGAGCTGCCGACGTGAAGGGTGCATCAATCCAAAGTTACCACAGTGCTCAACCCGATGTGGAAGGGAAAATCTATGGCCGACTTTCACCCTCACACTCCGAAAGAAACCCGTTCGTACTCTTTACATGCAGATTTGGGTGCGAGTCTGACCAGGAACTGAGAATACGAATCGAAGGGGGAGAGTAAATCTGTTGATATCTCTGGCTCTTCAGTCATCGGGGTACAAGAAGAAAGGCCTCCTGACATACGTTCGAGAGTGTTAATGTTGGAGGAGAGAAGGCAAGTCATGCGTCTCCAGGAGTAAACCCCTTCTGGATACGATTTCCCCCCCAACACGTCACTATAAAACGAGATGAAAACACATTCGCCGTTGCTAAAGTGCATCTCTTCGGGGCGGCGGGGATGTCACTCCTTTTTTTCCCGAAACGTCGCTGGATAGCGAACTGTTCGTCCTGAGGTTCCATGCACCAGGTCGATATCAAAGTTGTCTAGATTTGCTACGTTCGTCTTGCATACTACGTGCCCCTTTGGCCGACTCCTTGTTCGTGCTATGGCGCTAAAGTGGTTATGATTATGTGTATAAAACCCTCCGGTTCGCTTGGTCTCCACTGTCCTTCACGAACTTTGGATTTGAAGGAGAACCAGTCGTAGCTACTGTCAAAGGTGAGCTCGTGGTCATTTCTTCTGAGGAATTACGACTTACCTTGGATATTCTAGAGGTCCATCCGATGAAGGTTCTTTCTTTTTTTTTTGAAGGATTGGGCATCTCATACGCTAGGTATGACCGTTTGCTTATTAGAGGCAAGGTTTAAGTTGATTATTTTTACAGTAGCAGGCGAGTAAACCTGAAAGTTGGGAAGACAACACGGAACAAATAAATGCGTACTGTTAGTAATTAGGAAAAATGGTACTATTTAAACTCGAACCGCATCCTAACCTTCTTTGGTACGTTCAGGTTCAAGCCACGCTGAATCGCGGAACAAGCCTTCCAGTGCCAAGAGTCTGACGGAGCATCTGTGTAAAGTAGTGGACTGCGTGCTCTTGCATCGAAATAGTGCTAGAGGCGCCATGCTTACTGCATATATACAGGTTTAGGCCTCGATCTTGAGGTCAACGGTGGGATAAAGCGGCTCATAGCGAATAGGACCCGCTCGGATCGGTTTTGCAACGGTATGCTGCTTGTACAGACTCATTTTTCAATTACAGGTATGGTACGTACGTTCTTGCTGCATCTTCATAGGTTAGTAAATTGCCAAGTTTAATATTAAGATCACCTGAAAAGCGAGAGATGGAACGGCATCAAAATGAAGTGACAAATCAGATAGCATCAGGTTTGCTTGAGACTCGCGACCCTCGTCTCATATCGTACTTGTCATATTTAGCGTCATATTCAGGCGTGAGACGTTTCTATGGTATGGAAATATGATAACTGGGCTACCTAGGTGTATATGGAACCGACAAGGTACCGAGTATGTTTCTACCTTTCCGATTATCTAAATAAATTACTGTCATCTCCAGGATGACGATCGCACGAAGCTCATATCACCTGGACCGTCTTTTCTGGACCAATGATCATCACATCATTATAACCAGTGCCCCTTTCACTGCCTCCCGTTTGCAATCTCACTAGGCGCTTGAAAGGGCGCGAATGCATATTATCGCTAGGCGGACCTGTACTGGTGGTGTTCCTGGACACAACACGAAGGAGTATTAATGCCGGGGCAATTCCCTGCACAAAAATACATGTGAGTTTTGTCTATGGGCGAAACAATCCCAAACTCACAATGGCCGACTGAAGTACTGCTGCTGGATAATTACTATATGGACTATTCATCGCTTCGAACACAATGAAGACCGCCAGTACAACCACATACAAACCTGATGATTCCACCAGCATCTCTATGACATGGTGATATGGGTTTGGCGTGAAGTGTGGAGAATTCCTAGTCTTGCTGACCTTAGTCAGCCGGTACACGATAAGCGCAGTACACATGGCTGTTGTGGGCAGTGCCATAACATAATACGCCATTGCCCAGTTTCCCTTTGAAAGATTTTTCTGCAAATTGTTCGAAGATACCAGCTGCTGAAGGATGACTAAAATCCCAAAGACTTGGATCAGTCAGTGACTGGATAACTTCCTTAGAGTGTAGGAACTCACTCAGTCCGCATAATGTGCATATGCAAGGAAGGACGATGATCCTCCAGTTCTTTTCCCAGATAATCCAGCACCTCCAAATCTAATATGAATTTCAATTCAACACTTGCTTCTCCAGAAGTCCTGGCAGGAAACATACGATAACACAATCCGCAACCAATATATTGGTGCTTTCCACGATATTGCAGATCATCACGGCCCATATAAGGTGGCCAGAGGCTATATAGTTCATGAAGGTGAAGTACCTCTTTTCTTCTGTCTCTCCTTTTGTTATGAATGTCCATCTAGCATAGAACCAAAACATGGCAAGGTGCATTATCGCCAGGATGTACATGAACACTGAGACCCCAGCGAGGATCTTCACTTGCCGCCTATAGATAGTTGCGCTCGACACTACGGGAGGAGCTTCAAGTTCAATCATGTTGGCTAGTGTTAGCTACGCACGAATTTGCCACAGTACAATAGAAAGCAACGCCGCATACATGCCTAGCTTGTGGTAAGTTCTAGGATAGCTGGTTTGAACTTAGAATCTTACCGTGGGTTAGAGACTCAATGATCACTTCATTGAAAAATGAATCAGAGTACTGTGTCGCAATTATTTTGATAGATGAAAAATCGGGATCGTTCTGGGGCATTGTACAGAAACCTGCAGCTAATTTGTGAGGATGAATGTGTGCGCTCGTTTCGTGTGGAGACTCGACATTTATTAGCATGTTGCTTACTTATTTTAGTTCGCTTTGTTCTGAGATGGAAATATTGTTATGGGGATTTTAGCCACCACTATGATGCTAATTTCGGTGGGCGCTGTTCATGAGACTCCATCAAAGGTGTTGGTTCGAGCTCTTGTAGTGGCGCATCTTGGATGCATCGCATCAGCTGCGGTGTATATATCTCGGACTTTCGTTTGTCCGATGTCGTGAACTGGGAGTCTGAGCATGTTTGGGTAGTGCACGATTCGGGATTTGATACTGCACTTTACAATTAAAGCTATCAAGAAAGAGCCATTTGTGCGCTCAGACGATCAGAGAGTGTTGGATTCATCTGATCTGCTCACACTATGATTATTAAAAGCACTGTTAGGCGCCTCTTTCAAAGTCAATTTTACTTCCGTTGCGAGCGGCGCTGTTTCAGGATCCCCATGTGCGAAAGCGCAGTGAGAATGAGGTAGACAAGAAACGGTTGAGGCAGATAAGCTATACCGGTCCATAGAGAAACGGCGTTGGGTATACGGGCATGGATTGTACGCAAAAGCGGAGGAATTATCTTTACCCTTGTTCTATCTAACATCTTCGTAGCATGTAGCCTTGAATTGGTATAACAACCACCAGATATACCCTACCGCAGCGCAATTTCCTCCCAGCTAGGAGATGGTGAGCGAGACGACCTTTTTTTTCGCAGCGTGGGTTACAAGTATGAAATGGTCTTGACGTTGAACAGCTAGAGATCCTCCTCGATATTGAAGTTTGGCACTCAGGGTCCGGACCACTGACTCGACATCCGGATTACTAGCAGAATGAAATGCTATTATCACGTGCTTAACGATTTCTTCTGATAATGCCGACGAAATTGCACGATAAGTCCAGTCGAACACGTTCCGGCTACATGATTGAATGAAAATGCTGTGGAAATCTGCAGCTGTACACACAGTGTTTGGAGGGTTAAAAGTACATCAGGTGTCTTCCATGGGGCCGATGCTTATAGTAAACAGACCAGAAAATGACCAGAATTCCTCCACCGTTGTATCAATGCGAGGGAAACAGCACGCCATCACAGTCTATAATTTCATTAAGGCGATTGAATGGTTGATAGCTGATTAGACCCTGCCTGGCTTCACAATGAACGCTGATAACGCACTCTCATTTCATAACGGTGGCTTACCAGGGACGTATCCAACGAACGGCCGAGTAAACAGTACATACCTAGGGTAGTTCTGTTGCCTCTTAGCCTAGTCGAATTGGAATTCGGGACGTAAAGGGTTTCTGGATGGAAAGCAATAAGCCACACGGTCGCACGGAGATACAGGTCCTTGTGCATTTTCCGGTCTCATCATCAGTAGCAGGAAACCCTATAGAACACGGTTCAGTTAGCGTCTACATAAAACCAGGGAAGGTATCTGTATACCTACCATTGCGGGAAAGTTGGCAATCATCTGTCCGGCGTACCATAGACCGACTCCTGTATACACAGGACTCGGAATCATCTACCCGAGGGGTCAAGTTCGCGATCAGTCCCGATCGTCGCTGGTGGGTGTAGAGTCCGTACCCGCGATTCGGAAGGAAGGAGGCTTGGAACTGAGGTTGATGATGATTTCTTTTGCGAGCGGGGTCTGAGTCCTTTTTCTCGAGGGTAAGGACATTAATTATACGATCCCAAGTCAAGAAGAGATCGGAACTATGATGGCAGCGCCGCGAGTTGTGAAAGGCATCGAGCAGGAGCAAATTATTTGGTAAATACTTCTTGAGAGAGAGGTTAGCTAGTAGATGAGGACAAATTTGGGAAAGGAATGGGAGCTGCCACAATGAATCGCCCGCCAGGACCGACAGATAAAGCTATGATTCGCTTGTAACGTTTCGGCTCAAGGAGATAATCGTCGAGGGAAAGTATTGTCCTCTGTTGATGTTCACGCCGACACCAAGCAAAAAGCAAAAAAGAAATATGATTCGAGGAGTTTACTCTCCACTCAGCGTGACAGAGACTCTGTTCTCTATCATGAACCGTTGCTCCGCGAACATATCATAATGGTGAGATCGACAATATCTCCTGCCTCGTGAAAGCGTACCCATCGACAATGGCCTTGCATGTGGTGGCCGGGTGAGATGTACTTGAGGAGGATGACGAGGATGTGGACTTGGGATGAGAGATCAGTAAAGGGGAAGGAGAAAGAGGGAAAGATGTACCTGCAGCCTTCGTCAAGCCGTTCATCGCGTATTTCAAGTACTAGCACGCCTCACCATGAAACCTAATCCGCCTAACGCCCCGCTCTAGCAAAGCACATTCCTTCCCAGACGCGCTTGGCTGTTACTTATATGCATGTTCGATGCTCCTAATGTTCCCATCCTGGACTGCTGCGATAAACATGCATTAGCGGGCGATATGTGTCGTGCCGGAACATATAAGGTGCTGTTGAGAGCTGCGAGTGACACACTGCACAAAGAGCGTTAGTCCTTGACACCGAAATTCAGAATGTGGAGACGTACATGCAAGGGTTCACCTGTTCACTACTAACTTGCGATACACTGGCTACACATCCTATCTCCTCCTGACTTGCGATCCCGTGCTGACGTTGGTTGCAAATGTTTGGCTGATACCAGCTCCATTGGTAAAAGACTTTTGCAGCTGGTACCACGAGACGGGAATCGTGTACAGACGCGTACCAGTAACGCAGTCACGTAGTCGGCGCTTAATGAGCTCGTAATGACGAGAATGTATGCGAGCAGGGTTTCAAAGTGGATGTGATGGCGGAGTTATTGGGATCCATCTCGCTCGCTGGAATGGTTGGTGAGGCTGCGGTAGTGAGAGGGATGGTGTTGGACTTTTGTAGGAGGAGAATATGCGCGCGCAAGAAGAAATTAGCCAAAGAGAAGCGGCGTAAAAATAGACTGTATACCTCGAACCCCAAGTATGCATGTCACGTCACGGGTCTCGAGCCTTCCTGAAGTTGTCGTCAAACATTGCTAAAGTCGTGAAGAGACGGAGGGATTGGAGGAGAGGGCAGAGACTGAATAGAAATGTGTGGTAAAAGTGAGAGAAAGGAACGCGTGGAGATGATGGGGAACGAAGAAAGCGATCAAGAGCCGAGAACGGGCAAAAATTGTCGGAGATTCTGCAAATACCTTATTTGGGCAAAAAATTGATTATAATGCCGACTCTCGGCAAGTAATGTCTTATAAGGTCAATAATGTGTCACGTGATATTATATTCCACTAAAAAATGCATCTGAACTAGAAGGCCTAGGAAGGCAAATTTGGTGCCAGCTGAATGTGCACGTCCATGAGATAATTCTGACCAAAAATTGAGGCTCTCAGACCTTCCTAACACTTTATAATGCGGTATAAGTGCATACTAGAGGAGAGTTGACATAATAATGCTTATGCAGTTTTTCCGACATTTTGTCATTGCCGATCACTAAGCATCCTCGGGCCGTTTCCGGCATTCATCCACTCACGGAAAAACGGTAGGCCAAAATTATACCTTGTAATTTTAGAGCCGTGACGCCCTTCCGGTCTCAAAGCAAGGATAAACGGTTTCCTTCCCGGACGTGACTGTGCTGTGGAGGCCTCTTTTTCAGAGGTGAAGGCGTCATTTCCTCGACAGTCGGGATGTACGCATCATTAGGCCCCAGCAGTTCGATGTGCCTACTCTTCCGGGTGGGTCTTTCTCTCTACGGCCTGTACGGCTTTCACGATGCAAAAATATGAACTGCTTTGACCCCGATCCATACATGTTTCGTAATGATCAATCCAACAGTGATTTGCGTGCGGTTTCCTGGCTGGTTATGTGACATATATTCCGAGTATCTTCAGGTCCGAGTCACTCTTTGCTTTGTTGTCAGCTAACGGCGTAGGCATCCTCACCCTATGCATATCTGCGCCTCCGTTGGGCAAAACGATGACTTTCATTGCCATACGATGCTACCACGCTCGACGGGACACTTGGGACACTTGGTAGAAATGATGGGTTGTCTCTGCGACCCTAATTTGCTCCCGTACGAGTCAGAAGATACCATGGATATTGTAGGTATACAGGAAAATCTCGTTTTGACTCATCGTCTGCACAAAACGTGAGGATTGGGTTGGTAAGAGAACAACTGTCGACTGACCCCGCCGATGTTCGCACAGTAATCAACGCATTTAAAACAGTCTACAACAGTTTACATGATGTTCTTGACAGCCCTCGATGCTAATGTTGGCGGAGACGACGAGGTCATCAAGGTTGACGATGGTTTTGCATTCAAAGGTAGTGATGTTAGATACGCTGGATTAAGGAGAGGGCGATGGATAAGCTAAGTATCGCCTGAGAGGAATGGTAGTGTGGGAAACACCGGATACTTCTGTATACGGTGGGTTGTCTAAGACTTAGACTTCGCGGATGGGGAATCAATCAGCCGAAGGGGAGAAAGTGGTGTGAGGATTGAGGTCGAGTTGTAGGGGTCCCAGAGTTGGGATACCGTCGCGAAGTCTGAAGTCTGGAGCGCTCGGTGAACCAGAGAGCGGAAGGACCGAATCCGGCAACACCAAACACTGAAGGGCGTAGGTGGGTGGGACGATAAAAATCGAGGCGAGAGGATAGAGCCTAAAGCCAGTTAACGAGAGGGAAAGCGAGCGTTGGTGACGCGTCGAGGTGGTCAGAAGACGCGATCAATAGTTTGAGGATTGGGACGTTGTATTTGTACATATGTGAATTAAAGGCCTAAGGCCTCTTCTATGGCTAGCTTAGCTTATCTCGGACTTAGCCAGAGTTATGACCGGCATCGATGACGAGAGCTACGCCAGATGTGCAGAGTTTATGATACACAGCACAGAATGAGATTCACACGAACGATGCATGAAGACGTCAGCAATTCCCCTGTGGAAAGATCCATACTATGCTGAATTCGTAGAAACGCATTGGTCTTGAGAGCGCCGTGAGATATCAGCCACCTAACGCAACGACTTCACTCCAAACAGCATACTTCCGTTAAGGCCCTCCTGGCCAGCAACACTCCAGCAAAACATAACCCCTCAACGATCCACCTCCTGTTATACTCGTTTTCAATACTGTCTGGACCACGGCTCTTGTGATTATTAGGCTTAGCGACCGTAATTACGCATCACACTGGAGTACATAGCTTTTGTGTCGTTAAAGGCAGCAGGTGGTGGTTTAGAGGACATAGAGGGCGACACACTGCACAGATGATATAAGTCCCCAGTGCCGATAGTCAGAGTGCAGACACACGCTTCCAAATATCATCCCGTGGGTGTCTGTCGCTCCTCCTCTATCAATCTGATGACTATCCAATCCCTCCCAGAACACGTCTACCTTGATGGTCCTTTGATCTCGATCACCATCTATCACTTCATCTCGCTCATTAGAATGTAATATGCGATCTCAGCACAACGTTTTGACCCTGAGATAGTCTTTCGAACTATCCCTAAAGGTACGGAATTAGGAGGGGTGGGATGGCATTCAGCCGACGGCAATTACTGTCTGTAAATCCTGATGAGAAACCACCCCGGATCGTGCGGGGGAAACTTGTCCTTCCAGTTGAGAAGATGTGATCTTCCTGACGCGGTCTCTATGCAGTCAATTTCGGATGATACTGTCGCTAGAGCCGAGATTACCCCGTGCCGGCTCAGGTTAGGGGACCAAGTTTTCATCTGCGACGACGTCCTCCGAGGAATCGGTTGCAGGCTCCCGATCGGAAATCCAAAACGGACCCGCCAGGGTCTTCAACGAAACACACTGGTAAGGGCACCTTCTACTTGGCGGTACGCGGGCAGGAATAAGTCACGGCATGGAAATGATGATGCCTCTACAATGAATTACTAGCGAGGCCAGACTCGACCGTCCATACACAGAAAATCCTCTGTATATCATTTTAACCTGGATCCATCATATGAACATGGCGGCATTCTCAATTCTTCACTTAGACTTTCTGAACGTGGAGCCTAGATGGTAACCAACCGATATCAGCAAGGATCGAAAGAATGCGACGGGCCCATATTTCCGCTGTATTAAAGAGGCACATTATCGTCTGCATAGTGTTATGGTGTTCTGGTTCCAATAAGTTTTGGATTGTCGTGTGTTATTTCAAGTCAAAGAGAACGTTTTAGCCCAATTGCTGAGGTTCGTGTAGGGAGGAGAATCTGCGCCCGCAAGCAGAAATTAGCTAACAAGAAGCGGTATAAAAATAGACTACATACCCATGAACCTCTTAGGACGACGATAAATAGCTTCCTCCCCATTCATTGCGGCGTATGCGCCAGGAGGACGTCTATCCCATACCCCGTAACGTTAATCGATATCGGACGTGAAATTCGCAGGAACGCTCTGTTTCTAGACCTGAGACGCGGTCCCTCTTCAATGAGCAAGTGTCGATTGCTTGCTCACTGGATAGAGGGACCGCGTTTCAGGTCTACACTGTTTCGAGAACACCGTGATCTTGATCTTCGAATTATATTAGCCACAAAAGACAGTGACTTCCCTCCAACGCACATACCAGTACCTCCCTAACCCATGGCATTCTATTCAAAGGTATTCTCTCTGCGTAACCCGCTGCGATAAGCAAGCATATATGTCACACTAGAGTGTATTGACAGTCCGAGTCGCGAGTGCCATGCTGCACGAAAAAGATTACTCCTTGACACCAATAGTCAGAATGAGGAGACGTATGTCCTAAAATCCTTTCCTGCACTACTAACCCACAATACACCGACTAAAGATCCAGCATCTTCATGAATTGCAATCTGCTACTGTCGGTTGCAAAAGCTTGGTCGGCATTGGCTCCAACGGTAAAGGACTTTTGCAGCGAGTACCACGGGAGTGGTCGTATCTGTGTACTGAGCGTCCTAGCAGTGTAGTTGAGGCATAGCGGCCTAGTAATGATAAGGAGGATGTGCATTCATAGGAAGAGAATCTACGCGCGCGAAGAAGTTAGCTAACGAGAAGCAACGTAAAAATAGACTGCACACGTCGAACCCCAAGGGAACATGTATGCATGCCATGGATCGGTCTGTATTGAAGTCGTTGTCAAAAATCACGCCCGAATTTTAAGTCTCAAGGTAATGGAACGATTGGAGAGAAAGGCTACCAGAGATTGAGTAGGCCCTGAGGCCCAGTGAAAAGTCGGTCGAGCCGTACTGAGCCAAATCAAGCCCAGGGGAAATGATCGATGGGGCTCTATACCGCTCGCTGTAGCTTCGAAATGTGAACCATTTACCAGCTCAAATCGAGCCATTTCGAGCTTGGTATGTCGGTGTCATGGGTTTCCATTAGGCTTCGTAGGGCTCGATTTTATTGCCATTTTTATTTAATACTATTAATATACATAAAATCAGAGAATCGCTACTACGCTAAGTAGCAGCACTGGTCTGCAGCACCCTTCCCACTGCGCCCACAGCTGGCTCTGTCCTGCATGATGCCTCAATTGCGTTTCATGGCGTCAAGATAGATGTACCGAAATAGACAGCCTTGGATAATGTTAAATCAGCACATAATGACGGGAAAGACAATTTTAAGGCTACTCACGAAATGGAAGCTAGCTGGAGTGATGGCAAGCACGACCTAGATTTAGTGAGCTAAGAAATATATGCATATATGGAACAGAACGTACCGTGACCACACCCAAGTGGCGGCTAGAGAGCATAGAGCGACTGGAGACATTCTAAATGTCGAAAAACGACATATAAGAGTGCAGCGAGACGTACCTGAGAGGTAACCAGATATCCTGCTACCCAAACGAAATTTCCGAAGACGTATTCCTGCTGAAGGTGTCTAAACGAGGCGCATATATCCACTTTTCATGGTAGTTTCAGTCTGTAGCATCGTATCGCTGGGCTTCGTGTCAGTTTGCCAGTAAGAGGCCACATGCGGAGGCTACAACCTGCGATAATATAGGATTCGGGTGTAGGGCGACGGCGAAGATGGCGAATAGGCTGGAAGGCGACGGAGATGGTGGTGGTAAAAAGGAAAGAGGCGTTAAACACGTCACCGGACGACATGCACGTGCGTGGTCAGATCCATTGGCTCGACTTGGCCAATGTGGTTTGCGCTCGCAAAGTTCGGCGCATTTCGGTTAATTATTGGATTCAGAGAAATTCGACTCTGGTATTCTTGGATGTGCTGAGTGGAAAGAGGTGTAGCTTTGGAGCTCAAAGCTTTCTCGTATACGCCGCTTGATCCGGCTCGACCACGCTACATGGTAATTTTTGCGGCTTGATTTAGCTCAAACCGGCTCGACGGAATTTTCACTGGGGATCAAGAGCCGAGAACGGGCCTTGCTGTTTTCCGGAACAACGGTCCGGAACCCTTTCTCCTTTCACGTTGATCAGGCGAATACGGCGCATTAGCAAAGGAACATGCCCGTCCACTCACGCAAAGGTAGACCAAAACATTACTCTCCATTATAGCATTCTGACCTGTTTCCTCTCTGAAGGATGACAAAAATGTGCAAGCGGAGTCGTACTAGCGAATGTCTTCTGTAGCGGTCTCTCCCTCAAGACAGAAGTGTTTGACTATTTATACCGTCCAATACTACTTAGACTAACCGTGATTTAGATGTTTTCCGTTTTATCATTGGATTATCCGCTCACTTGGTAGGACATAGCCAAAACCACACCCTCAACCATCACACGTCAAGGGTGCTGGACGTTGTATCATTTTCATTGTGTTTTCCTACCCTGATACATTGTTTTCTTCCATACCCACCACCAAGGAACCGTGATCAGGTTTCTCTTTGCTTGCCCCTTCCTCACACGTCACTATCAAAACGCGGTTTGACGCTGTGGTTGATGGTAAGCTTTTTATTTCATTACCTTTTACATCGATTTAGCTGGTCCCAGGTCCACAACAGGGAAGGAAAAATTACGCCTTCCATTTAGGTTTTCGTCCTTGGGACGAGGATAAATGGTTTCGTTCCTGTTCACTGCAGTGGTGCACACGTCAGGAGGATGTCTACAAACATACCTTGTAACGTTGATCAATATCGAATACAGAATTCGCGGCAAAGCATGGGTTCGAGAACACCATGATCTTGATTCCCATACCCAGAAAACCTTCTAATTGCTATAAGGTTTGGATTGTCGCGTATTAGACCAACTCAAGGAGACATTCTTATTTCTTATTCAATCTGAAATCGTGGTTACAAGAGATACGAGCAGGAGTAGAGGAGGGTAAGAAAGAAAATTGAAGGACGTCCGAAGCAGCACAAGTATCAAATTGTAGTCGTCAAAATCCATTGGAGGAGTTACGCTCAACCAATCCTTTGCAAATACGGCTGACCACGAGCAACCTGGTTACACATTGCCGTGGTGATAGTCGCTGTAGCGGGAATAATGAACAACTCGTGTCCGGGGAAATAAACAGCAACGACTTACTTCCACGCACTCCCAAGCAGAACTGCGCGGTATTTGGGACATTGCTGATCTCGATGTTGGCAAACTAGGCGAGAGGCGAGCGTTAGAAGGCGGTCTTAAACGGGGAGGAAGAATAAACTCACATCAACATTATCTTGTAAAACGTATCCAGGAGCTTGAGATCCTCTGTTCTGTATGCGCATGACCGAGGGGTTATTACCTAGTCTCATACTACCAGAAACGGATGTGACGTACATTAATGAAATTCCCCCATTGCGAACCAGATCCTAGAAAGAAAAGTAGTTCTCTCAGCTGACGAACACGAACATGAAGCGGGAGAAACTTGAACTCACCGGTATTATCTGCAGTGGGAATGCACCTCGTAGCGGCATTGGCACCCCCGGCGTTGGAGTTTGCCCAAGGCCATTCATCGCACTGGTACCCACTGGCATGGCCCACCTGATATGATAGAAGTGTGTATATTAGTTTTCGAGGTAAGATAGCAAGCCAGAAAGGGACGTACGCGGGTGCTGCACCGGTTTGGGTTAACGTTACCACAACTGTTGCTAGCACGATGGGCAGCTGCATTGGTGCGGTCAGGAGCTACAGAGCGAGGCCCGTTGTTACCTATTTCGGGAGGGGGGGATCAGAGATCAAGTCAATGGAGGGGGCGGGGCGGACGTACAGAACCAGGAAAAACCTATTGATCAAGTTAATATCGAGTTAGACATAGGGAAATAAGCAGGTAGACTGACATATGTTCTCGGATGACTGAGGGTAGGTCCTATAGTCAAGCGTAAAGGTGGGTCCGGCACGCTCCACTATCTTTGTTGCGGTAGCATTCCATGTTGCAGTAGCGTTGGACAGCTCCGTGGGTAAGGCGTGAATGCCTAAGAGGAATAGGCACGTAACGATGAAGAGACTCTTAAGCATGAGAGGCAACTGGGAGATCAATGCAATTTTTTAGTGGGTTATATAGCTTTCAGTAACACCTCAGATGATGCGATGGATTCGAAACTTCTCCGGGGTATATTGAGAGCGGTGGGGTTTGCGTCCTTCTATGAAGTAGAAGTCAGTTACTCATGACCATCCTTACACAATTTGTGATTCGATTGCTCACCACCATCCTGGCGATCCGCGGACTGGCCTAATGGTAAGGACTGTTCCAATAGTCTTATCAGAAGTCAGTTAATGAGTCGCATAGTAGGTCCGTGGTCCTGTAAGGTGTCAGTTAATTGGAAGTAGGCTCTAAACGGAAGTATCTAATGTCGCGTTATCGTTCCGTGAAGGCTGGAATATTAATTTACTTACGGATCTTGTCTACTTTGCTCATGGACACACTACTTCCTCGACGCCCATGAGGAGCACCACAACGTCGAATTCTGAGCTCCACTAAGAACCCAAGCCTGACAGAAGTGGGAGGGAAATACGCGACAGGTGAGCCGGCTCTTGGGCTTGCCTTGAGTTTCTTCTGTGTTTGTATTTTCAGGCGGAATGTTCGATTCGACTTGGAGGATTCACGCAGAACAAAAGGAACAAATTTCTCGTGGTTCTATAGCAGAGCAGTGGTACCTGAAGTGGAACAAGAACCGCGGAAATGAAAGAAATCAAGAAAGACCGCGCATAAACAATTGACACATTATCTGCATCTTGATGGACAGCACGAAATGAGGTTCATGAACTGAAGGAGCAGTTCGCCAAGGATGCATAGAATGAACTTGGATAACATACCTCAAAACATTTCTCCATGGGACGTTTGGTAGTACGCCGAAATCGCAGAGACGCATAGTCTTGAGATCACTGATCTGGAACTTCGAATGACATTAGCAACCTAACATTCTTTCCCCGACGCGTTTCGCCGTCACTGATATGCGTGTTCGACGCTCCTAACATGTCCATCATCGCCTATTGTGATGAACACGCGTCAGCGAGCGAAATGTGTCATGTCGGAACACATACAGTGCCCTTGAGAGCCATTGTGTGCCACGCTGCTCGAATAGGATTAGTCCACGACACCGAAGATGAGAATATGGAGACGTACATCCACTACTAACCCACCACACATCGACAACAAATCCAGCTCCATCATGAATTTCCATCAAGTGCTGATGTTAGTTATAAATGTTCGGCTAGTACCGACTCCAATGCTAAGAGACTTTGGCCGCGAGTGCCACGGAATGCGAATCATGCTCGTGTACTGACGCATCGTAGCTACGTCGTCGCTAGTAATTATGAGGATATATGCAAGAAGAATATGAGGTTGGACGTGGTCTCAGGAGTAGCACGAGAATAGGTAGATCCTGCCTCCAAATGCGTCCACCGTGGCAGTCTCTTACTCTCGTCACCGGTCTGTCCCTCCATGCTGTTCACCAAAACGTTCAAGTACATTGTCGTGAGGCTGATGTAGTTCTTCAAAGGGAGGAGAGGGAGGAGAACCTACGCACATGAGAAGAAATTAGCCAACGAGAAGAAAAGGAAAAATAAACCGCGTACCATGAATCCCAAGGGAACGCATAAGTATGTACATCACGATTCTCCACCACATTGAAACCGTCATCAAACATGGCACGAGTCGAAAGGAACACCTGGAAAGGATGCTACCGGAACGTGAAGCGAGAGGAAGGAAAAAGAGAGCCGAAAACGCGTCATGCCAAGCAAACCCGGTTTCGCGGAACATCGGTCCGGAGGCCGCCACCTTCTCCTTTCACTTTGATCAAGCGAATATGGCACATTAGCAAAGGACCGTGCACGTCCACTCACGCAAAGATAGGCCAAAAAATTGCTTTCCAATATACCATTCTGATGCGTTTTGGTTGTAGCTTCGGGCTTTGTACCAGCAAATATCCTCTACGGCTTGTTCAACGACTGTGTTGGGGACTGTTTTTCACGGAATCGGTACCCAAATCCTTCAACTGCTCCTACAGACTCAGAAGCCTCGGTTCAAGATTTACACATCTGGAATGGAGACTATGACAGAGTTCGATGTTCCTCTCCTACCTTTCTGGTCAGGTTGTTCAATAATCTAGCCGACTGTGAGTCAGGTACTTTATGTTCGTTTTCTGGTTTTATCGGTCGTAGGATGTGCAAATATTATTAACCGCCGATTGTCAACCGTTTCCCCTGAAGTGGGTTGTATCTTGTTCATTGTGTCTTTCCTCACTGATACAATGCAAGGTTCTAAACCAGTAATCAACACGGAAGTTGCTCATTGCTACACGGCCCTGTTGGACACGCATTCAATAGCATATCTCGTATGGTTATACCCTCTTTTCTCGAAATGGTCCGTGGTCGCCTTTTGACTTGTCTTTTCTTTCTTTCCTTTGAGGTATCCCCCTGGTCTCATGTTTTACACACTCAACCCATTCGGTTTTCAGCTCAGCGAAATAATCTTTGTCTTTAATTTTCCTCTCTGATGTTCTGGATTTCGTTTGTTCCTCGACGCTTTAGGGTAGAAATATGCAAGGTACATACATTTTGTTAGCTATAGCTTCCACCCATCTGCTCCTTCGCTCATCTCATATTCTATGTCAAGTCCGATGAAGGGTATGACATGTATCATTCCTTTCTACATCGGTCTTGCTGGTTCACGGGTGTACAATCGTAGACATTTGCTTGAGACAACGTATGCCAACTGTTACGGTAAAGAATGTTAGTCCTTCACGCGGACCCGCTAATCAATCTCACTGGACGTTCTACGTATCGATTCTCCAGAGTAGAGACAACGTCCCTGTCCTTGCTTTCACTTATTCCTCGGATTGTATTCCTAGGCGGCAAGCACGCTCTCTAGTTTCAGGATTATGCCAATGCGCCCTTTCTCATTCGCTCTCGTAAACTGAGGTAATGAATACCCAGAATTGTGGTGTATTGGATTGGGGGGGGTCCGTGTTGGGTGCGTTGGAGGGAATGTATCCATAGGTTTGGCTTGCTGGAAAGGGAGTTTATGGACTGGAATGTATTTTGTGAGTCTGCGGTGCTGTTGTTTCTCGACAATGTGAGCTCGTGAGTCTGCGCTAGGGTAATGTACCAATTTATTGTTGTGGTTTTCGCGTTTTGTGAGTCTGAAAAGGCCCAGAACGCTCAAGAATGATTTCCCGGCTGGTTGTGAACTTCCTCTTTGGCGAGAGAGAACTAATTAGTCGCTTATTGCTATTTCTGTGAGAAAAAGTCGACATCCGAGACCGTCTCAATGAAATTGGACAGACCAAATAAACACCTCCAAGATAAATACGTCGTGGGAGAGAAGCTTGTTTCTGGGTCCAAATTTAAGTAGTATCGCAGTCAGATAACGGGACAGATTCTGTACGAGGCAGGTTACTGGGGATTCGTCGAGCATTGGTATAGAAGGAAGAACGGGATAGAACGTTCAGGATACAGCAACATAAGGAATTAGACGAGCATGTAAGGGTCAGAAAGTGGGAATCCAGTGTAAGAACACATGTGAATGATTTCAGTGGAGGCAAAGAGCAAATTTAGGTCGAAATAGCACTCGAGGTTTAGCTAGAAGGTAGCCTTAAACCTAAAATTTTCGAATTTAGAAGCTATCAGAAAATCCAAAAGGCGCAGAAATCGAACCAGAGCCAAGCAAGAAAGCAGCGCGAGAAGTAACCTGAGTCCGGCACCGTTCCGAACCGGTAAACGAGATTGGTCATCGGCCCCTAAAGATGACATCGCAGGTCATTCCTTCCTTTTGCTCCCGTCCATGAGCTCTCCCAGTCCTCCTCGCAAACGCATCAAGCTCGAGTTGCACTCTCAACCACCATAATTCCAAGACGAGGAGGAAGATAACTGCAGTATATGCCTGCAATCCCTCGTTGACCGGACCGTTATCCCCACTTGTTCGCATGAGTTTTGTTTTGATTGTCTGGTTGTTTGGACTGGTGCGGGTTTTTCTTTTCCGGTGTAGTTGTGGCTGATGATTGAGATATTGATCCCTCAGAGCAATCGAGGAAGTGTCCGTTGTGTGCTCAGACGATCGGGGAGTACCTTATCCATCGGATTCGCTCACGGTATGATTATCAAAAGCATTACTTGGCGCCTCTCTCCAAGCCCGGCTTATTGCCGTTACGTGTTGTGCCAAACCAGCAGCCTGAAGTGCGTAGACGAAGGCGTAGGAGGGAAAGGGCCAAACGAGATCAGGACGAGGCAGATAAGCTGGAGAGGTCGATAGAGATGCGGCGTTGGGTGTACGAGCACGGGCTTTATGCCAAGGTACGTTAAATGTCGTTATGCTTGTGCAGTCTGACTCCCTCGTAGCATGTAGCCTCGAATGGATATACAAAATATCGGCCATACCCCACTCCGGCGCAGTTTACTACGAGCCAGGAGATGGTGAGCAAGACGACGATGTTTCTGAGGCGTGAGTTGAGGGTGTAGGATGATCTAGACGTCGAGTTGCGGTTTTTACCTTCATCTCTTACGTATGGACGACTAACGAGAAGGTAGTTCTTCATGACGTTCACGATATCTCTCATGAAATCCATCGATATATGCTCCGAGTCAGCTGTGAAGCTGCTAGCAGAGTTTTTAGACATTGATACGGGTGGTAGGGTTATGGCGGAGCATTTTGCACATGGTAAGTAGCCGTTCGTTTCTGCGAATCATTCTTTACTGAAGCGAGTAGAGGTTTACTTGTATGTGAGGTCGCCGTTCAAGGACTTGTTTGTGTACGATAGCGCCATCCAGGTGAGCAATCACAGTTCCGTTCATATATCTCCCTGTACCTAAAACTGCTTGACTAGTATGATATGCCTCCCCATATAAGCTCTCCGCCAAGACCGAGACCAAGGCGATGGCGAGAGGCAGACGAGCATCCTCACCGGAGATCCAGATCTAGGTCACCAACCCCCTGCAACCACGACGATGCACCGACATCACCTTGAGATTCAAGATGGCGCGAAGACGACGTATCTCCTGTCCGGTCCATATCCTGGTCCCCTTCGGGTCGCCATTACCCTAGCGCGAGCAGAGTGTCGTCTCCTTCCCTAGTGCGGGTGACTATACTCGATGAAGTGGACACACCTGCCTCGACTATCGATCTCATTGAACCTCCTAGACCTTCCGACGGGAAGGGCAAATCCAAAGCTACTGACGAACCGTTTCGTGCTACCCCCGAGTAATGTTGGACTTCAATCCGATGTGAAGGGAAAGTCTAGGGAAGATACATATCGTCTTTCACCGGCACCCCCCAACGTTCCCGAAATCATACGGCCGCTGTCCAAGAAACCCGTCCGTACGGCCTTGGACTCCTTACGTTCTCATTTGGGTGTGACTTCAGAGTCATCGTCATCGAGTCCGACTTTGCTTAATCGGCTATCATCAAGAAATGATGATTAGAAGAGGGGGATAACTCTGCCGATGCATCTGGCTCTCAATCCTTGGGTAATTCAACACCGGGCCGGGATCATGAAGTGCCGTCACCACTGGGAAAGGAAAAGTCGCTCATGCAGGGTAGGGCGCGTTTATTGGGGAAGCTGCTAGAGGAGAGAAGGCACGCGTCTCGACAAGCGAATCCAGTAAATGACGTGGAACGTCAGCTAAAGACTCGAGCACTGGTGAGGGTCCGGCTTGCGGCTGAGAAACGGGCGGGGCGGTGATTGTCTTGCTATTTCGTCGTGGATGGAGGTGGAAAGCTGCGGAATTTGGTTGCTGGAAGGAGAATGATGAGAATGGAATGTAATTGACAGGACTGATGCCGGAGTGCGCGAATCTCCTCTTATGGGCGGCATGTGCGAGTCCCGGGTGGGTGGAAAGGACATTTTTGTTATCTCTTTTCTACGCGCTGCGTTGAGATGTCTACCGGGGTTACGAGTTATCTCGTTGGGCGATAAATTGTGTGTTTCTCGTGCCAATGTTGACTGGAGAGGATTATCAGTTTTTCTGGGGGATCGACTAGCGGAAGGCGGACCGGATCGCCCCAGGTCCTGGGTGAGCAGTTGCATCATTAACGGTTGAGACGCGACCCGATATCCATAACATCCATATTTCACACCCGTAAGATCATCACCATAACAGAAAGATAATGTACGGGGGAGGTAATTAATGGAGTGGATGATTCTGGATGAGAACAGCCATTAATACTCTAGTTTAAATTCCATTCGATCCGCATCTTTTGTTCGGACCCTTGAACATTCCTCGCTCACTCAGAAGCTTCAACATCCAAAGCCGCGCTGTTGCCGAAAGTAAGGCACGGATACCCTCCGCATGGCTCTGGGACTGGAAGGGCACCGACAATCTATCTAATGTTGATTCCTTTGTCGCACTATACAGGAATGAGGGACTTACAATATTGGCATAGATAATGAGGGCAATTGCCCACATTGTGATCGAGTGGTGGAAATGCATTCTCCCGGGATGCAAAGATGTTTATCGTGTGGGACACAGAGGATGTGGTGCCTGCGTGTCTATGTGATAATGAACTGCTCTTATCTTCAAGCGGTGGCTTTATATGTTTGCTACATCTCGGTGGCTTCCATATATAAATTTAACATACTGTCATGGTACCTCACTACATGATAACTTTAACGAAGGATGATAATAGCCATGCCTGATTCCGTACTTTCTCTATATCCAATTGTCTCGAGATATCTGTGTCAGGTATGTAGACAGTGTAGACAGTACTGTTAGTCTGCGGTGTTATGCATACTTGCAGTTCTCTAGCCCATGGCTTTGACTCTGCCATACTGAACCACTCGAGTGTGGGCCATAGTGTTTCAGAAAGAATAATCATTGCTATGGAATCAAATTGCGGTTTATTCGGGGATGCTTCCATATATTATATTCACCATGACCCTGGTTTTCAAATTGTGATAAAGTGTTTCATCATTCACCTTCAATTCAGACATTGGAGTGGAAGTTTTTCAGTTCAGGTTTTTATTATTATTCATGGTATCCGTTGACATGTTTTGGCATTGATTGTGGAATTTGTGGTCACGTAGAATGAGTTACAGCTGAGTTGTATAGGCAGTTGATGGTCATCACTTTGGACTTCGATCCTTAATAGCAGTCGCCAGGACTTTACTTGTAATGCATCGGTTTGGTCACGTAAGGCGCCTTTTGGATTCATATTCGGTTGAATCCATGACCATATCAGTTTCATGTTCAATGGGTGATTCCAAGAGTTCAGTAGATATTGATAGACAGAGGGAAATTGAGCCGATGTCACCGAGGGAGACGTCTATGATTGAGTTGATGGGCAAGGGTGTTTGATCAAATCATGCCACGATCATCCATATCTGTCTCGAAATAGACAATAGTACCAGCGATCAAGCATCTCTCCTGCAGACATGGTATTTCGTACGTCTCATCGTGTTCCTATGATACGTATCACAGGAGTGCTCCGCTCAGCATCTCAGGTATCCTGTAGCTCGATTAGGCGTACTAATATTAGCTACATGGAACCAATGGTAGTGTTACCAATGCTCGCGCAGGGTGGTATCCCATTCATAAACCCCGGAAATCTGCCTGACTTAGCCAGTACCCTCCCTCTTTTCCCAGACAACCCAATAGCGAGCTATTGGTAACCTGGAATCCAGCACATCATGTCGCAGATTGACCCAGGCTTTGCTTCAATTCAAGTACTTGCGTTGCAGACATCTGACTCCTGGTTCAACGGAGTTATCATCGAATCTCTAACTCATGGTGAGATTTTTCTTTTTCAAAAATTCCCACCGTCTAAGCGATCTAGGAATATATACGGCCCTGCTTGGAGTTATACTCTGGCGAATACGTGCGTCCTTAATGTCACCCGATGTGTAATGGAGATCTAAAGGTCAGATCAGTAATTTCGAGCACCTCTCGGCAGACGAAGGTCCTAGCTGGAATTTCGGTTTTCATGTATGTCCTGGCTACGGTGCATTTCGCTGTTAGGTGGTTCTATGCCAGGCGGGCGTTCATCACAAATGGAGAGACAGAGGAAACGAGGTTCTATTCCCTCGCAGACTCCCTCATCGCTGGTGGTCCACTTTGGGTCCCGACGATCAGCAGCGTCGTCGGGGGCATCAACATATTGACGGCAGATTGCATCATTGTACGTTCTCGCTCAGACTTTCAGGTGACCAAGGTAATAAAGCAGCGTTCGAATTAGATTTGGAGGTGCTGGATCATCTGGGATAGGAACTGGAGGATGATCGTACTCCCTTCCTTGTGTACGCTATGCGGAACGAGTAAGTCACTCGAATGTAATCCAAGTGAAATTGAATCGCTCACTGCTCCCAGTATTCGATATTTTCTTTCTAATTGAGCAGTTGACGCCAGCGACAGATTCTCAGGGAAAGTCACCGACTCCCTGGGGGAACAGTTCCATCAACTGGGGAATAGCGTTCAACAGTATGACGCTCTCCACGACGGTTATATGTACAACGCTCATCGTATTCCGGCTTGCCCGAGCGAGGACGTCCCTACGTTTTGGGCCAAATCTGTACTACCGAGTTATGGAGATCATAGTAGAATCTGCCGCGCTGTATGCCGTTGTACTGGCGGTCTATATCCCATTCATTGCGACGAATAGTCCATACAGCAACTATCCGCAAGTCGTTCTGGCTTCTGTAACTGTGAGTATTGGGTTATTTTAAAAGAGGCATTCTGACCGATTTTGGATAGGGCATAGCTCCGACTTTGATACTCCTTCGCGTTGCCTCTGTGAGGAAGATGGATCTCGGTTCACATGCGCAACCACTATCTGTAAGGCATCTGTCAATATCTGGAGTGGAAGGCAGCGTTACCTGTGTAGAGGAGGATAGGGCAATCCTTATTAGCCAGGAAAAAACGGTTGAAGTCGTATGAGCAACGCTTGTTCATGATCATTGAGATCATATTTACTTAGATGGAATTGACGAGAATACGTTATTTACTTGGCCTGTATGTACTATAAGGCAACGATGCGACAGCAGGATATACACTTGCGCAGTAGGATGTCGTATTTTTATTTTGGCTTGAGATACGGCGGTGAGGAATCAACGATGGAGTTGTGTCTGTGTATTTCATGCACCATAAAGGGCCTATCATAGGAAATGACATGTTACCCGGTTAGAAATTAAGAACGCTAATCCACGTACCAGTTATGGTATGTTTGTAGGTCAATACACCGGGTTTAAGGGCAAAGACGATGTCCTGTCGTTGTAGCTGATCGTTAGTTGCGCGCATTGAGTACTCGACCATTCTACTTTAGAGCCGAGACGAATGGTTAGATTGTCGACCCCAATCCTCCGCCACGGTGAAACCTAACCTTTGTAGTTCAGAGTTCGTATTTCGGTGATCGTGCAAATCTAGATGGATCGTTCATACATGCGATGAGAAGCGTGAATGAGAGAGTGAGAATCATGTTTTTGACTGCGTTGAACCGGCTGTGTCAATGCCTACCGGAGATCTGTTGGGTAGGGATTGGTTCGAGTTTTGGAATCTGCGGGTATTCATAAGTCTTCTCGACTGCTGTATCTCTTCTCGACTTTACGACGGCAAAAGTAGCATGAACTGGGCACAATATCATTTTTCGTCGAAACGACGTATCTATTCTTGCGCTAGTTTTCGCATTTCCAGACTCTGAAAAGGAGTAGACTCAGACATTCAAGAGAAGAATGGGTGCTTTGTCTTAGCTTGGACTCTCTAAATGACTATAGGAGAGAGCTAACTACTCCCTTAGTACGGTGTCCGTGAGCAAGGTTGATTTGCGCAACGTGAGAGATCTTTTCAATGAATTCGCACGGAATATGAAGGACAGGAGAAATACGACCTGTACAACAAGATACACTCATTGAGTGAGGGCACCTTGTTTCCGGGACCGAATTCGTATTGAGGTCAGATAACGGAAACGCGGATTTTGATATCACTGCGAGAGGAAGCTAACCGATTGGGTGATTAGTTTTCGGAGGTGGGAGCAGTCTGACTGGCTGGATAGGTCGGCGGAAGAGAATAGATGAACGCGTGTCCTTGGAGAGAGGATCGTTGATGCGAGGAAGATTTGCCTTAGAGTGGTGGTATCATCCTGCAATTCTTCGATGATAGTATCGAAGATCTCTTGAGGGAAAGTCCTGTGAGGATACTCATGTCACGTATTAAGACTAGGCTCACTTTTTATCTTCGCGGGGACGCCGTCTCATCAGTATATTATTGAGCATGGCTTTTTTTCGATATCTGAAATCACAATGAGACCTGTATGCGAGGGACGTGACGGTTGAACGAAAAAGTCGACCGGGATTATGTAAAAGAAGCTGATGTGTATTAAGTGCCATGGCATCCGAATTTGATGGCAGAGACGCTGTCCTATTGGCGTAGGCTTGATATCTGATCGTTAGCGGTAGGTCCTACGACTAAGAGCGTATTGCTTACTAGACCATTTTAGTCTAGAATCCAACCTAACAGGGTGGATTGTCGACCCCCAACCTAGGTGCTTGAGAATGAGTCGTGTTTTGACTGAGGGCCGTGTTCTTTAGTCCTAGCTATACGTCAAACCGCAAGCGATTCTAGTAGGTTTGTGATTAGACTAGTTCGAGTTTAGGGATCTGCAGCTGTGGAGCAAATGCGATGTATGGGTCTCCGATATATTTGAGTTCTAAGGAAGTTAGTTTCCGCGGTCAGAAATGCAGATTTTCCAGTTCGAATTTTTGGGGGAAGTGTACTTGTACAGAAAGGGAGAAACAGGAAAATGACACGGATCCCGCTACCAGAGTGGAGATGGGGCCAAGGCGCATTTTTGCGTACCTCGTGGGGTGTTCGCACCCTCCATGTTTAAAAGTGAATGTTTGATCCTTATCTTGATGATGAGAGGGGATCTTAAACGGCTGGGCACTAGAAATTCAGCGTGGTCACCTGCGTGGTACCACGCGGGCCACGCAAGTCCTTAGTTGAACTTGAGTTGAACTTGTCTTGACTGTACATATATACTGCGCTATGATAAGAATGCTTCGTTAAACATTTCCTTGTATCTATTTCTTATTCTTCTGTAAACTGTCTGCAACAAATGGACCTTTGTTCAAAAATGTTTCAAAGCTCAATTTTTGTCAATTAAAGCTTTTATGCCCTCAAATCTCGGATTCCTAGGCTCCATTGGATCTTCTATGTGTCTATCTATGATTATGAGAAGGACAAATATCGAAATTTAGGTACTCTCTCATTTTCCTAGCTTGAAGTCATTAATTCGAAGACATTACAACACTGAACATCAATTCAACATCGATTTTGCATCAATTGCTCCTTGATTGTGCCAATACCACGAAATTGGTCATTTAATTTCCACAAGAACAGCCCTCCCTTATGTACGGATATACCTCCGACCACGCAAGTGACCACGCTAGCAGACCACGCAGCCACGCAGCCACGCAGGCATACCACGCAGGCTGACCACGCACCGCCACGCTGACAAACCACGCAACCACGCTCACCACGCAGGCACCACGCAGACCCATATAAGTTTGCCCTCAGAAAGTGTATCATTCGTATGATTGCCTCTTCATTTGCTTGTTTCTTTGGTGTTGTTCATATCAAGTATAGAACTCCGTATTCTTCTCATCATGTCCGCTCAACTGGGAACCCCACATTGTGTACCTTATTGCTTCTAGCTTGGCAGACCACCTCTAAGGCCTTTTTATACTGTTAGGATACTTGTAAAATTATTTACTTCAGCTGCAATACTTTTGATGTTCTTAAACTTGACAATCCAGTTTGAATGATATTTTCATGATATTGATCATATTTTGAAGCATTTCAATATCACACTAAAGCTGTCATATTTAAACTTTCAGGAATTCACAATCCAGCTGATTCTATGCAAGTACTAACAGAAAAGAACGGAACGCGTCGACTCAAGTTGCATTTGATGGACTTGATCAACTTTTGATCGAAGTCCCACAATTTGTCAACCACGCTGACGACCACGCTGACGACCACGCAGCCACGCAGGCGACCACGCAGAATTCTTCTTGCCCTAAACGGCGGAGTTTAGTTTGTGTTTTGTCAATGATCGTAATTCGTGACAGCCACGCGTCAATGGCCGAGTTACCTCATATTAATCAGTAGGTGCATCAAGACGGGACGCCCGCATCATGTCTTCCCGCAACGACCTATGTTCCGTTGTGTATAATGCATTTCGCGATCCCATTCCTCTCATCGGATCCGCTGAAGAAGTTCTTGGAAGTGTGAGGTGTGTCGGTAGTTCTTTGCGGACAGGTAGATATTGAGAACCTTCCTCTGGAGATGGGGAGTCGTCCTGGGTGCGGAAAGAATTGATTGGAGGTGCGGGTTTGGATTCTGGAGTCGTAAGTCTCACCTGACTTGGGATGGAAGCTCTTTCTGGGAAGAGGATCATTGAAAAGTGCGACATGTTTTGCCTACCTGGAGATGTACTTATGACCTCCGGCATCTCAAAATAGTAGACCGAATTTGAGGGTAGATACCCTTTCTTGTCATTGTACCGATCGTTAGTTGTGATTCCTCTGATTATGAGCACGTCACTTTAGTCCAGAATCGGGCCAGGCTGTTGTCCCTAAGCCTTGGACCGTTGGGAGTTCCTATTTGGGTGCGGGATCGTCAAGCGAAAGATGGAATAATGACATATTTCGGTCGCGTTCTTGAGTCCTAGCTTTGCGTTGAACAGGCCGTATCAGGATGTATTAGCGATCGAGAAACAGTTTCTGCTCACCGGAGACCAGTCGGGTAGGGATTGGTTCGAACTTGGGAATTTCCGGCTGTTCAGCGATTTTGCGGTACTGTTGTTTCTCGACTTTGAGACTGGAAGTAACGTGAACTGGGATGCAATATGAGTTCGCACTCAGGTAACGCACCTTATTCTCCTATTTTTGGCATTGTTTTTATGGTTTGTCTCTGAAAAGGAGCACCGTACGACGGTAAAGAGAAGAATGAGATTTCTTGTCTCAAGATATCAGAGGGGAAGGAGCCAACTGCCTGTGAGCAAAGTTTACCTATGCGGCCTTGTTTCCTGTACGGCGTCCTCTGGAACGATTAGCCCGAAATTTAAGTAAGCCGATATACATCAAGATACATACATCGTGAGAGCGAAGATTTTTTCTGCGACCGGAATTTGGTATTGCAGTCGGATAACGAAAACACAGATTCTGATATACCTAACAGGGGATTCTGCTACCGTTGAGATGAAGAAGGAGGGATGAGATATAATGTTCATGATACGGCGGCGTGCGGAATTAGACGAGCATGAAAGGGATAGAGAGCGAAAAGCCAGTGTAAGAACACGCGTGCATGGTTCCAGGGAAGCGAACGAAGAGCAAATAGAGCACCTCTGAACAGTACTCGTGCTTTGGGCTTGACGGTAGCATTTTGCCTAAGGAATCTCTAGATCGTAGACTTTCAGAAAGGGTCAGAAAATCTCAAAGCACAGAACCCAGAATACAAGGAACGCAGCCCGAAACCGGTACGAATCCCGCCGTGCGGCATCGGCAAGCGAGAAGATGTGTCATCAGCCCCTAATTGATGATGTCAGCCGATTACTTCCTTTTTACTCCCGCCCATGAGCTTTTCCAGTCCTCCTCGCAAACGCGTCAAGCTCGAGTCGCCCTCGCCACCACCAGAAGCACAAGACGAGGAGGAAGATAACTGCAGTATATGCCTGCAGTCCCTCGTTGACGGGACCGTTATTCCTACTTGTTCGCATGAGTTTTGCTTTGAGTGTCTTATTGTCTAGACTGGTGAGGTGACTTTTCGCATACCGTGGGTGCGTGTGCTGATGATTGGTGATTTAGAGCAATCAAGGAAGTGCCCGTTATGTGCTCAGACGATTGGGGAGTACCTCATCTATCGGATTCGCGGTATGATTATCAAAAGCATTACTTGGCGCCTCTCGAAGCCGGGATCATTGCCGTTACGTGCTGTGCCTGTCCGGGAACCTGAAGTACGAAGACGAAGGCGTAGGAGGGAGTGGGAGAGGCGAGACCAGGACGAGGCGGATAAGCTGGAGAGGTCGATAGAGAAGCGGCGGTGGGCGTACGAGCATGGGCTGTACGCCAAGGTGCGTCCATTATCTTTATGCTTGTGCCCGTCTCACGCCCTCGTAGCATGTAGCCTCGAACGGGTATACCAAGTACCGGCCGTACCCCACTCCAGCGCAGTTCGCTGCGAGCCAGGAGATGGTAAGCAAGACGACGATGTTTTTGCGGCGCGAGTTACGGGTGTGGGATGATCTGGACGTCGAGGTGCGGTTTTTACCTTCGACTCTTTTGTATGGACGACTGACGGGGATCATAGTTCTTCACAACGTTCACGATATCTCTCATGAAGTTGATTGATATACGGTCGAAGTCGGCTGTGAAGCTACTGGCGGAATTTTTGGACATTGATACGGGTGGGAGGGGTATGGCGGAGCATTTCGCACATGGTGAGTAGTTGTTACCTTATGAAAAGTGTTCTTTACTGAAGTGAGTAGAGGTTTATTCATACGTCAGGTCGCCGTTCAAGGATTTGTTCGTATATGATAGCGCCGTCCAGGTGAGCAATCACAGTTCAGTTTGTATATATATCTGTACTTAAAACTGCTTGACTAGTACGATATGCCTTCCGATGTGAGCTCGTCGGCAAGACCAAGACCAAGACCAAGACGATGGCGGGACAGACGAACACCCTCGCTAGAGCTCCAGGTCCAGATCCAGTTCGCCGACTCCCTGCAACCACCTTGCACTGTCATCACCTCGAGATTCCAGATGGCGCGAAGATGACATCTCGCCCATCCGGTCGATATCCTGGTCACCTTTGGGTCGACATTACCCTAGCGTGAGCAGAGCGTCATGTTGGAATTACTGTGGCTGTACGAGCCATCGGAATCAACCGGCTCCGAACCCGTTACGTACCGTACCCGCCGTTTTCTTTTCTTTACCGTTTACCTCCACGTCGACGTACATAGGCTAAACGAGTTGCTCTTATCGTCCCCCCCCCCGTGCTCGAATCTCAACACGTCATCCCCTTCAGCAGTGCGAGCGACTATACCCGATGACGTGGACGCACCTGCCTCGATTGCCGATATTGCTCAACCGTCCAGACCTCCAGATTTAAAGGGGAAATCAAGAGCTAGCGGCGAACCCCATGATGATACCTTCAGTGCTCCACTTGACGTGAAGGGAAAATCTAGGGCAAATACACCCCGTCTCTCTCCGGTACTCTCCAACGTACCCGAAACCTCATGCGTGCGGTCCAAGAAGCCTATTCGTACAGCTTTGAACTCCTTACGTGCACATCTGGGTGCGACTTCGGCGTCATTGTCGTCGAGTCCGAATTTACTCTCCCAGTTATCGTCCGGCGGTGAGAGTAGGAAAAGGGAGGATAACTCTGCTGATATGTCGTTGGGGGATAAATTGCGGGTTTTTCGTAATGTTGACCTTGGATATAGATGCGTCAGGTTAATATGAACGTTGGTTGGCTAGCAGGTGTGCTGCATTTGTTCGTGTACCGTTTCTTGTGCAAGACTGTCCGTCGTCCCCCTTTGACTGGCCGGCTCGATTATGTCGCCAGCTGAAGACTGAATCAAGCCCGGTATTTGGGGAAGAGAAGAGGGGCATGTCGTTCCGGCAGTGATGACCTTGCTGTTGTTTGTGTATTCAACTACGAAGCCTCAGTAAATCAATCCAAAGCTACCAATGAATACCTGCAGTGCTCAAAGGCAGACTTTCACCTGTACCCTCCAAACGTGGCTTTGGGTACGGGTCCGAATTCCCTCAGTGGGGCTGTTCGTTGGGAAGAACACAAATAGGGAGGATAAATTGTTGATATGCCGGAAGACCTCCTGACATATCGTCGAGCACGTTTGCTGAAGCATTTGTACGATTAGACTCAAACTGGACGAAGTTCATGACACCTTCTGGTTTGTATGGTCTCCATTCTCATTCACGAACTTTGATATCTGAAGGGTTTGAACGAGAGCCTGTGGTAGCTACTGTTAAAGGCTAAGATATAAGTGAGCTCATAGTCATTTCTTCGGAGGAATCACAACTCACCTCAGATCTTCTAGCTGCTGACTATCTTCGTCGAACCCCCGGCATCATAGATGGTAGGTACGACCGCTCGTTTATTACAGGCAAGATAAAACTCAATTTATTGCCATAGCAGGTGAGTGTTACCTGAATTTTGGAAGGTAACATGGAACAAATAAATGCGCACATTTAGTAAATAAAGAAAAAGGTACTATCTGAACCCAAACCGCATCCTAACCTTCATGCTCGGGTACCCGCAGGTTCAGGTTCAAGCCACTCTGAATCGCGGAACAGGCCTTCCGGCGTCAAGAGGCTGATGGCACATTGGTGTAAAGCAGTGGACTGCGTGCTCTTGCATCGAAATAGTGCTAGAAGCGCCATGCCTACCGCGTATATGTATGTTTAAACCTCTATCTTGAGGTGAATGTGTGAGCAAGAGCCGGGCTCACAGCATCGGATCAGATTTTCAACGGTATGCTCAGAGTACAGACTCATTTTTCCATTAAGGATATGGTACGTCTGTTTTTCCTGCATCCTTACAGGTTAGTAAATCGCTAATTTTGACGTTAAGATCACCTAAAAAATGGGAGATGGAACGACATCAAAGTGAAGTGACGAATCAGCATCAGCCTTGCTTGAGACTCGCGACCCTCGTCTTACAAGGTAGCTACATGAGAAGATCCTATTTCGTACTTGTCATATCTAGCATCATACTCAGGCATGAGACAATTCTATAGGACGGAAACATATCTTCTGATAACTGTGCTACCTACGTGTATATGGAACCGACAAGTACACACTATTATTTCCATCTTTCCGGTTATTTAAATCACTATCATCTCCAGGATGACAATTGTACGCAGCTCATACCACTTGGACCGTCTTTTCCGGACCAATGATTATCACTTCATCATTATCCACTCGTGTTTCACCGTCTTCCATTTTTGATCTCGGCAGGCGCTGTAAATGCCACGAATCCATATTATCACTTGATGGATACAGATCAGGGTCCCTAGATACAACCCGAAGAAGTATCAATGCTGGCGCGATTCCCTATTTCAAACCCCAGTAAGTGTTTTATCTTCAGCGAACCCATTTCAAACTTACAATGACAGACTCAAGGATCGCTGCTGGATACCTACTATACGGACTCTTCGTCGCTTCGAACACGATGAATACCACCAGGACAACAAGATACAGCCCGGATGATTCTACCAACATCTCTATGACGTGGTAATATGGGTTTGGCGTAAAGCATGGGGAATTCCTAGTGTTGCTGGCCTTAGCCAGACGGTACACGATGAGCGTGGTACACATGGCTGTTGTGGGCAGTCCCATAATGTAAAATGCCATTGACCAGTCGATTGAGTCCCCCTTTGAAATACTTATCTGCAAATAGTTCAAAGGTACCAGCTGCTGAAGGATGCTTAAAAGGCCAAATACTTGGATCACTGAGTGATTCGATTCTCCCAGACTAGAGTCCGGACTCTTACCTGTTGCGCATAGGGTGCATATGCAAGGAAGGGCGACGATCCTCCAGTTCCTTTCCCAGATAATCCAGCACCTCCAAATCTAATACGAATATCGATTCAGAACGTGGGTCTCCGGAAATTATTGCAGGAGACGTACGGTGACACACTCCGAGATCAGTGCATTGATGTTTCCGGCGATGATATTGATCATCAAGGCCCATATAGGGCTGCCAGTAGTCAGCCAACCCATGAGAGCGTGGTACCTTGTTTCTTCTGTCTCTCCATACGCTATGAATGCCCGCCTGATATAAAACCATCGCACGGCAATGTGCAACGTTGCCATGATGTACATGAACCCCGAGATCCCAGCGACGATCTTCACCTGCCACCTATAGATAGTTGTGCTCGACACTACAGCAGGAACTTCAAGTTTGATTGTGTTGGCTAGGATCAACTACGCACGGATTCGCAATAGTGCGATGGCAAGCACGGCTGTGTACATGCCTAGCTCATTGTAAGCTGCTGGATGACTGATTTAAATTAAAAATCTCACCGTGCGTTAGGGACTCGATGATAACTGCGTTGAACCAGGCATCAGAGTACTGCGTCGCGGATTTTTTGATAGATGCAAAATCGGAATCGATCTGAGACATTCTACGGAAGGTTAACAGCTGATTAGCGAGGAGGAAGGTGTGTGTTCATTTCGTGTGGAGACTCGACGTTTATTAGTGCGGAGCCGACATATTTTAGTCGCATTGTTCAGAGTGAGACTCCATCAAAGGTGTCGGTTTGAGCTCTTGTAGTGGCGCATCTTGGAAATATCACATCAGCCACACTGTATGTGTCTCAGACTTTCATTTGTCGGATGTCACAAACTGGGAGTCTTTGTACGTTTGGGTGGCGCGCAGTTCGGGATTTGATAGGGCATAGGAATATACCTGTTAATAGATTCAGCATCCTTTCGAGTTCAAACTCACAGCCATCGCACAGGTGATCGCGATGAGAAGAGTGGAAAGGTTCGAACGTTCGTTGTCCAGGAATGCTTCAGGTTGTCTAGACCGCATCTATGAGTGCAAATGGACGTGGCTATTAATGTGACCAAGCCGTCCTTTATATTTCTCAGACCCGTGATCCCTATTGCGGTGCACCAGTCGGTGAGTCATAGCATTCACAGAAAGTGATATTCTCAGAGTTACTGCGGAATGAATTTATGACTCTTGGAAATGCACTTGTATATGCTGTTCGAGTCGAGTCCATGACTGGTGGCTGGAACGACATTCTTCTTCAAATCAAGGTCAAGCTGAGGAGAATTGAACGTCATCGGATCTCGACTTGACTCTCCCGCACCGATTCCGCCAAACATCGGCAAGAGATATGTGTTAGCAGCATCTAAATGATGATGTTAGCACAGGAGTCTTCCTCGAACAACGCATCAAGCTAAAGCCGCCCTCGCCACTACTAGAAAACCAAGATGAAGAGAAAGATCACTGCAGCATATGCCCGCAGGTCCTGGTATATCGGGTCGTCATCCCGACTTGCTCGCATGAGTCTTGTCCCGTCGTCTAGACAGGTTCAGGACTTTTTTCGCATACAGTCAACGTTTGGCTGATAATGGATCTTTAAAATTAGAGCTATCAGGAAAGAGCCCTTCGGGCGCTCAGACGATCAGAGAGTACTGGATTCATCTGATCTGCCCGAGCTACGATTATCAAAAGCACTGTTTGGCGCCTCTTTTAAAGACAGGATTACTTCTGTTACGTGCTGCGCCGCTTCGGGAACCCGAGGTACGAAAGCACAGGTGAGAATGGGGTAGACGAGACCAGGTTGAGGCAGATAAGATAGACCGGTCGATAGAGAAACAGGTTGAGTGTATAGGCAAGATAAATAACGTTATCTTCGTTGAGACCAAAGTCTGTAACATCGACTGAAACACTGGTCCCTGTCATGAGCTCGCTCCTTGACAAACTCCGAGGTCCACAATCTCACTTGTTTGCACTCGTCGAAGATGGCTTCATGCACGGTGGCGGGGTGGGTTCGGTATAGATGTACCCAAGGAGAATGGCATGGCTACGGATGTCGCGGTCTTGGGCTGAGAGAGAGAAAGAAGTGTTAGTAAAGGGGAGAAAGGCGAGAGAAGGAGACGTACCTGCAGCCTTGGTTAAGGCGTTTGTCGCATACTTCGCACACATATGTTCTTATGCTGCTTAGTGAGGTGAGGCGATCACCACCACTGACACGACAATGCTCCCGTACTTGGAGGGGGGGCATTGTAGAGGTGATATGCGTGACGAGCCACCTTGATTCTCCATGTGGGTAATTTGCTCCCGTAGGAGCCAGTCTTGGGTAGGTATTGAGGATAACCTAGTAATAGTACCCGTCGTCCATACAAAAAGGTAATACTTGAGCCTGAGTTGATAAGAGAAAGTGCAGACTGACCTTCGATGTTAGCGCAACAATCGATTCGTCCGAAATGGTTCATGATGGTCGTCATGAGAATTGTGACAGATTCCTCAATGCTTTTGTTGGTGGCCAGGACGACGACGACGCCGGAGTCGGGGTTCTTGGGGACGATATTGCGCTAGAGTGTGACGGCATGGTGTGGGTCAGCAGCGTCTCCAGTAAGGTAGAGTCAGCGGACAGTGGATTCGGCCAAGGAGAGGGCAGTGGATTAGCTGGAGCCTTCCACAGTGCCGGTGATGAGGGCGACGTCAGATATGTGGAGGTTCACGATGACTATGGCGGCTTGTGGCCGGGCGGGGCTGGATGACTGGGGTGTGAAGTCAATGAACTGAAGGAACAATTAGGTAAAGATGCATAGAAAGGACTTGGACAACATACCTCATAACATTCCTATGTGGAAAGATCGGTACTACGCCGAATTCATAGACACGCACAGTCTTGAGATCGCCGTGAAACCCTCACATAATCCTCTCTGGGCAAAGCACATTCCTTCCCCGACGCACTTCACCGCTACTTACACGCATGTTCAATGCTCCTAACGTTTCCATCCTCGTCTCCTGTGATAAACGCGCACTAGCGAGCAAGATGTGTCATGCTAGAACACATAAGGTGTTATTGAGAGCTGTGAGCGATACGCTGCACGAATACCATTAGTTCTCAATACCGATAATTAGAATGCGGAGACGTACATCCAAAGTGCCAGGCACTCTGACATAATCTCTAACTCCGCCACACATAGACAACACATTCGGCTTCTTCACGACTTGGAATCTGGTGCTAACGTCGGTTGAAAAAGTTCGGTCGATACCAGCTCCAATGGTAAGACTTTTGCGACCGGTACCACAGAACGGGAGTAGTGTACCGACGTGTACTAGTAACGTAGTCGCGTAGTTGGCCTTTAGCGAACTGGTAATAACGAGAATGTATGCAGGCAGTGGTTGTGGGTCGCGGAGTTATCGGGGAGTATGCTGGTTCTCCCCCCAGATGCGTCTATGTCTGTCCTCCATCTCGCTCGCCGGAACAATTGGTCAGGCTGGGATAGTAAGAAGGAGGAAGGCGGGCGTTCGTGGGAGGAGAATCTACGCAGGCGAGAAGAAATTAGCTAACGAGAAGCGATGCAAAAATAGACTACGTACCCATGAACCTCAAGAGAACGCGTATGCATGTCACGGGTCTCGACCCTTGTTGAAGTCGTCGTCAAACATTGCTAAAGTCGTGCAGAAACGAAGGGATTGGAGAAGATGGCAGAGACTGGTACTGAATAACGATGTGTGGTAAAAATGAGAGGAAAGAAAGTGATCAAGAGCCGAGAACGGGCTTTGTCGAACACCAAGCATCCCCCGGGCCGTTTCCGGCATTCACTTTCATCCTTTCACTTCGACAAGGCAAAAATTTAAATAACACACGGGAAAGGAGCACACCTCATCCACTTATGGAAAAATGGTAGGCCAAAATTATGTACTTCCCATTTAGAGTCTTGACGACTTTCCAGTCTCGAAACAATGATAAACGCATTCTTCCCAGACGTGACTCTGATGGGAGGGCCTCTTTTTCACAGCGGCAGCAGCATGAAAGTACGCGTCATTTTCTCGACAATGCTTGATGCGAGAGATGCGTGCATCAACAGGCCCCGAGTTCAAGGGTTCCAGTTCAGCTGATATTCCATCCTACAGTCACGGTCCTGGGTAGATCTTTCTACGGCTAGTGCCAATCTTGTACAACTTCCACGGTAAAAAGTATTTACCTCCTTGACCCCAATCCCTACTAACCAACCTAGCCGTATTTCATAATTATCAATCCCACCTTGATTTGGGTCCTTTCCTGGCTTGTTAGGATGTGCGAATAGCCGAAACCACGAGTCTAACACTCATGAAAGTCGACAATGTGTACGCTGGTCCCTTTTGATTGTGTCTTGTCATAAACTCATACTTCGCAGGGTACTCCAAGGGGGTCCGAGATTTTTTTTTAATTACATTAAGCCCTCGTCTGACCGATCAACCGACCTCCGTGGAAATAACATACTCCGTATGGGCATAACATAGTGTATTGGTAAGCGCACTGCCACCCAGTACACAAAAGTTGCCGGTCATAGCTGGTCCCCCCTGCCGGAAAGGGAGAAGCGGTCTTTGTCGTGGACAACCTCAGCACCTTTCCTATGTCTTGTGTACATCCCTCCTAAGTCTTGGTGAGCTGGTATTAATTTGAAGGTGAAGGAAAGTCTTTTTTACATTGAAATATATTGTATTTATGCAATATCATACCTATGTACCCTCCAGAAGCACAAAAAAAATTCCATAGAGAATTTTTTTTAGGCAGCCTCAAAGGCGACCGACCGACCAACCCGGTGTTCCGGAACAACGGTCCGGAACCCCCTTGGGGTACTCTACCAGCGCCCAGTACCTAATAAGTACCAGTGCTAATTCCTCCTATCTGCTTCCTTGCTCACCATATGTTGAGGTTGAAGCCGATGTATGGTAGGTCGTATTTTATGACACCCTACACCTGTTTAAGTATCCAAAACCACCTTTTATCAACCATTGCAGGTAATCAATGTTCAGTCCCTTCATGTCTGGGTCCGCAAAGATCAGGGAATTGCCGAGACACTGAACCTGCCCCTGATGGCGCATTTACAGCAAGCCTTGAGCTTGTATGGATAATATAAGTCCATGCCAATACAGTAACACCCTCAGAATATATATAATAATCGATGACTACATACTAATGTCTTAGAAAAATAGAAAAGAACTCTACAAACCTCGGAAATTTGCTTCCAGTTGACTTCCAGTACAAAGCTGGACCCAAAATTGAGGTTGTGGTCGTGGAATTCTACATGGATGATGGAATCGCTCTGCCCCAATAGTGTGGTCATTCATCATGGCATGGGCATCGCCTTGTGGCATTTTTTTTTCCATGGTTGAAAACGTTAAGCTGGATTGAGCGCTATCTTGAGTCGGAGTGTCGTTGGTATGGCATCACAAGGCTGGGTTTCCTACAGATGAGCAAGAGTTGTATGTAGATAGCATCCTTCATCACATTGACCTTCGATCTGTGGCCTAGCGCTATTGAAGGTCGGCTCAAGTTTGATGTCAATCATGTGCATACTCAAAATTCAGCAACAAAGAATACCTTGGTATTCCCCGATGCTGCATCAGAGCCAGAGATGGCGACATTGACAGGAGAGAGCTTCGGTGGTGCCTTGAGATGATCCTCGCTGTTGGGAATTATATTGCTTTGTTTGTACATGGGTCCCATTGAGTAGTGCACTTCAAGTTATGACCCGCAACTGGTGAGTCCCAGTATCCTTCGTTTCTGATATCGTCTCTAGCTGCAGACTCAAATCTACCGTGACCGACGGCAAAAGATTAATACCCTTAGCCACAGATCCTTGATGAGCTGGCCTTCACATTAAATCATTTCTATTTCCCAACATTGCTTCGTTTCTAACCTGGTCAAGATTCTGCGACTTCAATTCCATACCGTGTTCCACTGAATAAAAGTAAGTTCTTTCCTACCTCACTCCATCCAATTTCATGCTGATAACAAATAGCGAACGTTAGAACAGAACTCCGCCCAATCATTTCAGCTGAAGGATATTGGAGTCGCGTCTACTAAAGGAAGACAAGCCTGTCATATTCACTGACGCTTTATGAGACAGGGAACCTTTATCCTCACTGTATCGTGCCCTGGTCTGCTAAAAAGGATGGGATAAATGTGACAGACACCTGCATCCTGGAGTCGTTGCTCTCCACAGAGAAACGGCGCTGGAATGAACTTTTTTAAACGACTCTTTCTAAACATGCAGCCTGGAACGAGCGCTAGTGCAAAGGAATGAAATTATGTTTTCATGGCACCCGCATGATTTGAGTGTCGGCATCGAGGTATGTTTCCTCCCTAGGGTATTCCGCCTACATATCTCTGACGAATGAAGAGTTAGTTATAGTTCTTCACGATACATATCTACTAGCTTGACTTTCTCTCTCGAATTTCGACCTGTCACTAGCTCTGTGGAAGGGGTGTGCTGTTCATATCTACCTATGATTTCTCCTTTTAACCGAGACTTGAGCGTTCCGGACTGGGACATGTTCAGGATATCCAGTCGATGCATGCCCATTTCATTTCTGAGTTGAAATTTGAAAGCAAATACGATTCACTGAAATGATTACATAGAGTGAGAGAAATTTCCCTGATAAAGTTACGGTTTATCAAATCAAGTATTATCCTTTTCAAATGCCCATATTTATGGTAATTAGTACGTTGAAGGGTATTCAGAAACTGAAACGCGTACCAAGGTCAGTAATCACTGATGTGCATCACCTTTTGTGCAGTTGCAAGACCTGAAACTGAAGAGGGATAGCTGGAAAAGTCTGAGCCTTCCTCTGCTATAAAATAAAAGAACATTTTCTGAACTCACTGATGAGGAGAATGTGGTAACATGGATATTGAGCTCCCTCTGAGGATCCCTCATCTTGAAGCCTTCTATCATCTGCGCCTCTGCCTCATTCCATGGCCAGTCTGGTGACATATTATAGAACGTGAGGTCTACGGTCTTTAGAGAAGGTATTCCATTAAGGGCCTCATTCATCTGCTTCCACAGGTCCCCATAGTTAGGTGTGGAGAGTGACGGCATATTCTTGACATCTATCTTCAGGCGTACGACTTTGAGAGCAGAGTCAGCTTCGATATCGCGGAAGGCTGTTATCCACCAGCCCAGGATAGATTTTGGCTCGTTGCTATTGTGATATACAGATATGTCGATCATAAGGGTGTTGACATGGGAAATGTGAAGTGTCAGAGTTGGAGATACTATGCTGATTGTCAGAATGCAAAAGACAACAAATGTTATGAGTACCTGTACTGGTATGGGTGATGTGGAAGGAAGGTAAAGCCTGCCCGGGGAGCATTTCATCCAGGAAACGGTTGAGTTGTTCGATGAGGGCAAGATTGGTGTGGGAAATCAGAATAAGTAAAGCATTGATGAGGACCAGATGGCTGACTGGTCCCAACCTCTGGGTAAACCAGAAGGTCCTGGGTTCAATCCCAGTGTAAGTCACAATTGGGAGGTTTAGTGGGTATTATGTAATGTTGAGTCCCACACTGTTTAGTAAAAAGCCATTTGTGCGTAAATGCATTCCTACCTGGCCTGATCGCGGTTAACACCGTGTGACTCAATGGCGTGGACCAGGAACGACTATGTCGGGCTTGTGCTCTACAATGTCTCAGAAAATGACTATGTCGGGGCTTGAGATAACCATGCCACTAAAAATAAAATAAAAATAAAAATAAAAAGTAAAGCATTGACTCTTTCCATGGAGATAGGGCACTGACGCGGTGAGAAGATTGATCCCAAAATGGTTCTGGCATCACTCTCAGCGTCAGTGATACTCAGGGAGGTCGGAGAAGGGACAACACCTATTACGACTTTACCCCTATTTTCCTTATCTTATCTTATCCTTATCCCTCGGAACCCCAGACCTACCTATCTTATCTCTCGGAACCATAATATTCTGCTGGCACACTCCTTACCCGTTTACCTGGTTGCCATCACCCCAGTTCACAGCTGCCACATCCCAGATGACCAACAACCCACATGCACCATCATGCTTCTTAGTAGTTGGACAGGAGTCAACCGCTAGTTGAGGGCAGTCTACGGGATGCAGCCCATTCAGACGGAGTCCCATGCAGATGCAGGTGATATGCGCTCTTTACTCTCATTTGTCAGGAGTGCACTTCTTTTAGTGTCCTCACTTCTCATTTTTTAAAAGGCACACTTCTCACTGCATGCTGATATGCCGTCTACGCGTTCACACCTAGATTTTGCGATTTTATAACAATACTGTTGCAGGTCTATCCTATACTAGTTGTATATCAAGGGCTATAGTTGAGACTTCAGACTGATAGTCAAGTTAGCATGCTACTAGTCGAGTCAGGACTTAGGAATGATACCACTAGTGGGTCAGCCCTACCAGCCGACCGGACTAGCACCTCCAAAGCTAGTATGACTTAGTAAAATACAGTCGCTAGTAAAGAATACAGCTGCTAGTGCCCAAACAAGAAGTAAGAACCCACACAGATCTCGACTATTCAGTTGCTAGTGGACCAATCTGGGCATGAATGCCTAAGTCAGGATGACTAGTCATGTGAGCACTTCTGAAAGGACTTAGAAATGAACCAGTAAAGGCATAACCCTTAGCCCAGATCCGGCTAGTGTGATACAGATCTCATATGATCAGCACTAGTATAGCCGGGCTGCACCCCGATCACAATTGAGCAGTTGCTACAGGCACGGTTACCCGACTATTCGTATAGCCATGTCACTAGTGGAGCACTGCTGGGCAAAGGGTGTGGAAACGACCCAATAGCAGAGTCCCTCGACCCGCTATCCGACAGAAAGAACAGGCTAGGCCAACTATTGTGTGATTATTCACCATAATTCGTGACTAGCCAAGATATCCTTACCAATATTACCCCTAAAGAATCTATTTATATTTATTCTGTACCTGTCTCTGTAGTATATAAGTAGTAGAAGGGGCAGCCTCGCATGCCAGGCAAGCCATCCCTGCAATTGTGACCTACTAGTCAGTATTCTAGTGCCCCAATTAAAGGCTTTTGTGCTTAACCTCGATGAAGTGTCTACTAGTCACTTAGTCACCTATAGTATTGAACGAATTGGAGTGTCTTAAAGTTACTATTCCATCTTGGAGTGACTCAGAGCATTTCGAAGTTAGTTAAAGTATTTTCTCGGAGTTAAAGTATTTGTTCTTAGGCCAAGAGTGCCACTAGTCGAGCCTAGGGTGCTGCTAGTCAAGTGTAGACTGCTTGTGAGACCCAGTATTTGGCCCAGAGTGCCACTAGTTTCAAAGTATCAGAGTTAGACCGAGCGCAGTTGCTCAACCCAAGTCACTATTCATCCAATCATGTCTTAAAACCCTGCTAGCGCGAGTATTACATCTTGTGTAGCTCACTAGTACCAAATATACGTCTTTAAACAACCTTTCCCTGATTTGTTGAAGTCTGCAGAGTGCTTCTATCATACTCGAAACACCGGAACTCAATAATATTGGTGATTAGTGTAGAGTAGTAGAGGGTTTTGGTGTTGTGGTGTTCATATCCATTCACTAGCCTTTTGTCACTCGCCGTTACCGAGCACATCAACGCGCCCTTGTAGGTACTATTCTTAGTATGAGCCTAACATGTATTTAAGCTAGCCTACACTGTGGCTTTAGACCCCAGCTTCGGCTAAGGTTATATACTCCTAACTCTTACAAGCTCCTTGCTTTCGCTATAAGTGATGCCTAACTTCTTGCAATCTACCAATGCCTCTCTAACACTGAATCACTGAACATGAGTGACAGGATAGAGACCAGCCTTGGCTCGGATTAGAGTTAGTGCTTAACAACACCCTGATGATCACAAGGAATGTCAGGACCAAAAACTGTGAAGCTATGATGTGCATGGTTTTGAGAGAAGGGGAGTTGCATGTCAGGGAGCAGATATCTGCGACTGAGTCAAAATCTATGAGGATCAATGCTAGGGATGTGTATGAACGAGCTCCAAGGGCAGAGATGACAGAAGGGTGGAGATTGGAGAGATCACCCAAGGTGAGTGTCAGCGCTCTTAGGTTCATGAGTTTATGGAGAATTTTGGCTGGGAGTGATCTGGTGAAGGACCAGGAGTGGAATTCGAAGGTGAGTGAGGTGAAGTGGCACGTGAGGTGTGGGGATTGGGTGATTAGTTTTCAGAGGCAGGTGCACTCTGTTTTGCTGGATAGGTTGGCAGAAGAGAATAGATGAACGTGGGTCCTTGGAGACAGGATCGTTGATGCGAGGGAGATTTGCTTCAAAGTGGTGGTGTCATCCTCTAATTCGTCAATGATAGTATTGGAAATCTCTTGAGGAAAGCATGGTTCAGTCATCCTGTATTCCTATGAGGATAACCATGCCATGTATCGAGACTGGACCCACTGCTTTTTATCTCTGTGGGGATGCCATCTTTTGAGTATACTATTGAGCATGCTTATTTCGATTGAGACCTGGAATGCCGAGTTATAGAAAGGGATATCAACTTCTGAATCTGAAATGGGGATTTTAGGATTAAACTCATGCACTGCTGTTTTCTCAGTGTGAGGGATGTGATGGGTTGAATGAAAAAGTCGACTGGGATTATGTAAAAGAAGCTGTTTGGTAGGAACAGGGATCTTTATGTAAGCAGCTTTGTGACCAAATGTCGGGCCTCAAATGCCACTGCCAGAAAAAAGCAATGGAAAATCTGATACCTGGGAAATGAATGTATTGATGGTAGCTACCTTTTCCAGGAATCAGATTAAAAATTCATCCAAAATTGATGAAGTTATTGATGAAAAAAGTTTTTTATCCCAAAAGTGCTTCTTTTGTTATTCTAAGTTCTTTGGCAACATTTTACTTTTCCTGACCTCCAGATTTTGCACTGGAACAGCCACCTGACTATGATGTCATATTCTATAATAGGTAGGACCCTTGATCCCAATGGTGGTATCCCATCCCCTGCCTCCTCCCACCTGACATGGAAGCTACTGTATCACCACAAAACTCATCCAATGTATGGATTACATATCTAGTTGTGTTCTAGCATCATTTATATTATCTTATAGATGACTATGGCTCTGCCTGGTGCCACAGAGGCACAATCAATTTTTTTGCAGCAGATTTTGTGGCTTATATAATGTAACTGTCATAGCTTATATAAGGGTCCCTGTTCCTGGTGATGCCTATCTTATCCAACACCACAGTGCTGGAGGCTTGTTGGTTTTTCTGTGGATCGGATCGCTTGCTAGGCTTGAGGTAAATTCTAATAGATAGCTGTTAAGCACTAACTCGAACCTTCGCCAAAGCTGGTCTCTATCCTGTCACTCGCGTTCAGTGATTCAGTGTTAGAGAGGTGTTGGTAGATTGTGAGAAGTTAGGCATCACTTATAGCGAAAGCAAGGAGCTTGTAAGAGTTAGGAGTATATAACCTTAGCCGAAGCTGGGGTCTAAGGCCACAGCGTAGGCTAGCTTAAATACATGTTAGACTCATACTAAGAATAGTGTCTACAAGGGCACGTGCAGCAAGAAGTGCGTCATTCAACAAATGAGGAGTGAGGACACTAAAAGAAGTGTACTCCCAATGAATGAGAGCAAAGAGCGCATATCACCTGCGTCTGCATGGGACTCCATCTGAATAGGCTGCATCCCGTAGACCACCCTCAACTGGCGGTTGACTCTCGTCCAACTACTAAGAAGCATGATGCCATCAAGAGAAGCATGATGATGCATGCGGGTTGCTGGTCATCTGGGAGGCAGCAGCGTGAACTGGGGTGATGGCAGCCGGGTAACCGGGTAAGGAGTGTACCAGCAGAATATCATGGGTCCGGGAGATAAGATAGGTAGGTCCAGGGTTCCGAGAGATAAGAATAAGATAAGATAAGGAAAATAGGGGTAAAACTGTAATAATACCCCCCGACTAAGACTGTTGTCCTGACAGTCCTTTAGACGTACTCACTCCCTGAGTCGAGGGAGTTAGTAGATTCCATACCCCATTTGTAGTCCTTGGTTTGTTCCCAAGCAGACATGCCCCGTTCTTCTTGAGGGAAGCTGGGTTTGGTCTGAGTCGTTAGAGGAGACTCGGAACGTTCGTCTTTGAAGACATCTTCATCCATGTCCAATGAATAATAGCCCTGCTTGTCAAAGGATAATGGATCGGTATGATTCTTGCTCGAGACTGGAAAGAAAGTTGAGCTCTTGGTCGCTGAAGAGCCAGGAGATGATATGGTTATGTATCCTCCTTTGTTTTCCAAGTGTCGCAAATCGTGATCCTGTATGTGGTCTTCCTTGTTCTCGTATTCCTTGACGAGTTCTTTGGCATTGGCGAGGTTGCTCCTCTTGAC